CCCCCCCCCCCCCCCGCAGAGTTGCTGGCTTTTCGTTACTCTCGTACTCCCACCCCCGCCCGGTCTCACCCTGCCGGGACTTCTGGTGCACGGCAGGCACTCTGAAGTCCCTCCTAGAGGCCTTGCCCAGGCGGCGGGGCACGCTCGCCCACCATCAGCCAGCCTCCTGCGACCGAAGCAGGAACGCCTACCTATTTTGCCAGGCGGAGCTGCATCCCCGGCTGCAGCGACGGAAGACTCCGTCCGTATCACACCTACGGCTACGGCTAGAAACAAATAGAGTCCCCGAGATTCGGGCAGCGGCTGCTGATGCAACGCTGCCATGATGGTGGCAGAGGGAAACAGAAGAAGCAAGGAGGGAGGCGGCGGCGGCGGGCTAAAGCCGGCATGCAAGTAGCAGCGTGTGCAATCACATCAGGCAGTGCAAGGCAGGCGGGATCGCCCTCCTAGGCGTCCGCTCGTGCTGCGAGAGCGGCGGGACGGGCTCTCCCGTTTCCTTCCAGGAGACGCAGCGATTCACGAGGAACCGGGGAGAAGGAAGATGCGGGGCGAGCGCCTGCTCCCTCATTGGCTGCGCCTCTCGCAGCACCTCCTTTGCCCTCGGGGTGGCGGAAGGCTCCCTCCTTAAAGAGACACGGTCGCTTTGGAGGCCGGGCGGCAAAGGGTCCCCCGTCGTCCTTGCTGGCACCGCCCGCGGGAAATGACCCAAAGCCGAAAGCATAGCCTTTCCTCATCCTACTGCCCTTCGACTGCGTTGGGTTGCAATTCCCAGCATCCCACAGCCAGCCTGGGAACGCTGGGAGTTGCAGCCCAGACGCATTGGGAGGGCCCCAGGTTGCAGGCAGATGCAAAGCAGCCCATTTAGACTCGCTGTTCTGAATCTGCTGCCTTACACTGTGACATTTATTTGTGCAGCAAAGTCACCAAATCTTCAAGATAACCATTGCCTGCTTTACAAATTTTAATACTATAGAACACAATTTTGCTGAATTATGAATGTTATTTATTGCTTTGTTTTAATTATTGTAATTATTACTGCTGATTGTAATTTTATTATTGCTGTTTTATTATTGCAAGCCGTCCTGAGGCGTTTATTGGGAAGGATGGGGTAAAAATGTTTTAAATGAATAAATCAGCAGCAACTTGCTGCCTTCAGGTGTTGTTAGCCTGCAACTCTTAACCATTGGTTGTAATGACTAGGACCTTGCAGTCTAGCATCTGGAAGACTACTGGTTGCGGTTTATAAAGGTTAAGGCACAGGCAAATTCCTATCCACCTGTTTTGTCCTTTTTGGCTGCAAAGCCACACATTTCTTAGGAAGCATCAGATTCTGAGCCCAGGTCCAAAGGGGAGGTAGGAGCACCACTGGGTTGCCTCTATTTCCACTTTTCTGTAAGAGATGCTATGGAAGATTGAGGCACCATCAGGAAGACAGAACCAATTGCTGCCTGGGTCCCATCTGATACCTCCTCGCCATACTGTCTTCGGAAGCTCATCAGACTGTAGCTGAATCTTACTTCAGCCGTGCTGACAGATAGCAGCATCCTCTACAGGGATTTGCAAAGGGGATTAGCAGCATCCCCTTTGACTTTTCTAGACTTTGTTACAACTTGGAATTGAAATGACAATATTACTACTTTATGTACACAAGATAGTCAACATTGGGAAGGGAAGGTGCAAAATATTTTTTTCATGGCACTAAAGTAAATGAAAACAAACTGGTACTAGTTGTTTGCATAATTATTCACACCCTTACTGGAATGTTGCTGGTGAAACTCACTGCCTCCATAAGTCACACATCAATGTATTCAACAGTCTACTTCACACAATCTTCAGTGCCACCTGCTTCTGGACAGCAGATGTGCAAAACTGATGGAGTCATACCTAAGAATTGCAGCTGTAATTACCGCTAAAAGTGCTTTGATCATGTATTGACTCAGGTAAATGCTTATGCAACCAGCGAATGCCATTTTGGTTTTACTTCACTGTTGTGCCACAATAAATATATTTGCACCTGCACAGGGTTGAGTATCTTGTGTACATCACTTAAATCCATTTCACTTCCTGGTCATAACACAACAGAATGTGGAAATATCAAAGGGAGTGAATACTTCTGGCAAAGCACTGTACCTCTGAAGACAGAAGACTAGCTAAAGGTGTGCAGGGCAACTGGCCATGTGGCACCCAGAGTTCTAACCTCCATTTGATAATTTTGCATTGTTCAATATTTGGTGAAGAGAACTGAACATTTTGAGATAGGAAATATTCCCCCTGCCACTGATCCCCCCGCCCGCCCCATGAACCAAGATCTATCAGGCTGCACAACCTGCCATCCAAAAACGCATCAGTATCCATCCCAGAGCAAAAAAACACAACCCTGCCTCATTAACTTACTCCTAGTTCCAGCCACCCAGCAAGTATTCTCACAATACATGTAGTGACAAGGCTTGGACTGCTTCCCTACTGGAATTCCCTAGCAGCCTTCTCCTCCCACAAACCCTGCTGATTTCAAAATAGCAAGAAATAAAACATCTTTAAAATATTGACCGGTCATGTTCTATTGAGGGTATACAGAGCAAAGTGCATTTCATAAGACAGGGACTTCTATTTGTAAGGCATGGCACAGGATGATTTGAAGGTAGTTAGTTTCTAAACATGCTTTAAAAAACCCCTCAACCCCTTTGGATTAAGAAAAGCAGCCTTCAAGCATATGAATGAATTTCTCCCCTACACACAAATGGCTAGCCATGTTTTAAAAAAATTTCCAGAAAACCTGTTTAGTCCAATGCATGTTTACTTAAAAGACTGCAGCCAAAAGCTGCAAGAATATGCCTGTTTACTAGGAAGTAAATACCATTCAATGTAACTCACTTTTGGTAAACATGCTTGGGATTATGCAACGATATGACACGACACCTTGGCAAAAAGGATGCAAATACACTTTGTGCTTCAATCAAGAAATCTGAATACCTCATATCTTAAAATATATTTGTTTAGAACCCTGAAATGTTCCAACATATTCACATATTGCTGTAAGGAAAATTTACTTATGCAATAACATACTGCTCCCATTTGAGGCTGCAGATATGTCTTAGGAATTAATTCAGTTCAAGAATACCTCAATACATTCTACTAACCAAAATATCCCAACAGGCTCCACGCAGGTGTAGACCCCCTGTGTGTGATGCAGAGATCACAAAGCAGTATGTTTCTTAGAGGACAGAATTACTGGAAAGAAACATCACCTTGGATCTTTCATTTTTCTTGCTTTGGGGAGTTAAGGGTTGCCCCTTGTACTGTATAAGCTAACAAGTAACATGGAAGTAAGCAAAGGGTCCGGAAACCTCAGATGATCAACTCTAATCAGGTCTGTGCAAGTTATCCTGGTCATTCTGTCTGGGCAAGGTTACTGAGCAAGGCAAGAAAGGGCATTTTATAATAATAAAAAACCTGTGTACATTATTTGCTTCCTTATATTTTCATTTAGGACTCAGGAGGTCTCTCCTCCATCTGTTAGACTGGATTTTTCATACATGCACTGCAGATTTCATATTATCCAAAGGTGATCAAAACCAAACTTCGACTCACCTTCCATCTTTCCTTGAATTATAGCAGTTTTCTCAACCTTAGTTGCTCATGTAGTTGTCTAGTTTCTACTGAAACAGAGACTTCCCCAAAATCTATGAATTTCCCCACTATTTTTTAGTGAAATTAACTGAAGGACACGTCAAATGTTTAATCAGACAATTTTATCTTTTTTTTTAAAAAATCACTAAATTAAAAACAAAGCATAGGTTTGGTTTCTAATCAATCTCTGAATCAAGATTTTTCACAATACCATAAATCAATTACTTGAAAGCTCAAACAGCAGGAAACATTACTTTGCATTTGGAGACCGACTATGCAGTATGTTCCAAGATTTATGACAATGTATCCAATTGTGCTTGAAAGCTGCAGTAATCAGAGGAAGAATTTTTTTGCATCTAGGAACCAACGGAACTTAATAAAGAAATCTTCAAAAATCCTAAATCTTTACATATATTTTAAGTCTCAGCGAGTTCAAACAGAAACTTATATTGCTGTAATACTGATCATTGGTTCACCTCTTCCAGTTAACTGTTCTAACCGGCAGTGACAAGTTCTCTAATTAAAGTCTTTCTCACCAGTGTCACCCAAGAAGGATCAAGGTCATTTCCAGCTCTGTTTCCTGAGAACAAATGCAGGAAACTAAACATTTAGCATGCAAAGCATAAGTTCTGCTACTCAGTGTTGGCTCTTCCCCTTTTAATTAAGCAGTTAAAGTACTTTTCATAAAACAAATCTATATCCTAAAATGTACCCTGGTGGACAGTCAAGCAGGTGTGAGGAAAGTTTCCAATTCCAAGCGAGATCTTCAAATGAACAGCTTCAGAAACACTTTTGCTGGGTACCATAAACCACATCCACTTAGCACCCAACGAGATGTTCGTCTTCAAAGACCTTTACAACTGTTAAATAATCATAGCATTTCTGTGAGGTAGGCAAGAATCATATTCCCTCTTTACATATAGAAGACTAGAGGTCAAAGCAGCTTGTCTAAATCTCCAAAGAAAGCAGAGATTATTTAAAATACCAGGCCCAGAAGTAATTTAGTGCTGGGGACATACTATTGGTCACATTCTCCCCTTCTTCACCAAAATGCCCATGAATCTTGAGAAGGAAAAGCAGGGAAGCATTCAAAGTACAAAGTGTTGTAGTAATGAATGACTTCAACTGCCTTCATAGACTGGGTAAAATACATGTTTAGGTCATGACGAAGAAGTTCAAGTTTAGATACTCTAAAGGCACAAATTTTATAGCTTGCAGCATTCTCTAGCCTGCATGAAAATATATATATATATATATATATATATATATATATATATATATATATTTTCCGGCCTAATATGCATAGGCTTGCACTCTACATGACTGGGCTGTAGAACGTAATAAAACCAACCACAAGCAAGATGGCCCTAGCTTTAATCTTAAGTGGTACCCAGGAACTGCTTAAGACATATTCTTGAACTGATTTCCAAAAGTAACTGCAGGGATATCAAATTCAATTTATATGCAACTGAAAAATTTCTGAAGTCCAACATTTTTAAGGATTGGAAAAAAGGAAGTTGGAAAAAAGCTAAAGCTGTCAAACCTCTTCTGAGTACTTGGGGTTCAGAGTGCTTCCAGACAAGTTTTTTATTATGCCATCAAGTTGCCACCATTTCATGCATTTCCATCATCTGCTTGTGACCTTCCCGTGTTCTCTTTTTCTGACATTTTCCTTTGCAGAAAATCCATTTCTGAGAAAGGCAGAAAAGCTGCACTTCTTAACTGCTAGAGCTAAGAAGCCTCAATCTGGATGCACCGTGATTCAAGGGTGCAACAACAGATATCCCACTAGAATGTGTAGTGCAGATGAGCAAAGGCCCCAACAGTCCAAGTTTGGTTGTCAGGAAGAGCCAGAGAAGCTAGAAGGCTATAAAGCTCTCTACAGAAAACGGCTTTCTAACCCTAACCTGCATTTTCCCACTAATATTGTACCCTTTAGAACGCATGAACATGCATGCGAATGAAAAACAGGATCATGCAGAGGGTTCATTTGTTTTCACTGCAGAACACAAAGGATAGATAACAGTGTCTGAAATTACATTTTCAAATTGGAGTCTGAAGAACCAGGCAACTAAGAGTGTCGAATGATTAAATTCTAGGCCTTATTGGCAAATCCAGGCAGCATCTACTCAAGAGGTCTTAAAGAATGGAAATGTGGAAGCGCTGCTCTTTCCCTTCCATCTTGTACAACCACTGCAGGTCTGGGGGGCTTATGGAGGAATGCAGGGGAGAAGGGAGCAGTGGCACCACTAGCCACAGATCTCAGGTTAGAAGTCTCGCATCCTGCCTCAACCCTCAGCACGGGTAGGGCTCTGGCACTCCCTTCGAGGATCTGATCACCCACTGCTGCCTCCATGGCCCTGCTGCTGCTCACTTGGTCTGGCAGTTGGCTGATGATGCTCCCCGTAAGGGGGCAGCAGCTACCAATGCGGTTTGGAATGGATTTCTGTGCCAACTGTCCCCTGAAGTCTTCCTTCACAAGCGGCAGTGTGGTCCCTACTAGATGCCTGCCACTGTCCATCAATCTCTGTCACTCCCCCTGTTCAACAGCATCTCCATCCCTCCTGCCTCCTCTCCCTTCTCCCTGGAGTCCAGCAGTAACCAGTGCTCCCTTTGAACAGTAGCGCACTGTCTGGGTAAGGCAAAGGTGGACACACCCTCCTCACCCTTCATCGCAAGCCCATTAGTCAGGCTCACTCCCCAGTGCAGACTGATTAGCAAGAAGAAACCTTCGAACGTGGGAGGAAAAACAGAATTAAAAAGTCTTGAGACTGGTGGGAAGATTGTGGAGGAGTTTGCAAAAGAGGAAATGAGGAAAGTTCAGGCCAACACACCCAAGAATGGCATGAAACCTCTGAAATGAGTGAGTGTGTCTGAGTGTATGAGAGAGAGAGAGAGAGCGCAAGCGGAGATTGCAAAAGAAAAAGTTTCTATTTAGGGACACGATTTCCCTTTAACATCAATATGTGAAGTAATATGAGTGAATCTAAGCATGCAGAGTATCTTTCTTAAGGGAGCCCTGTAAGACTACTAGGTACCACTAAGACTACCACGGGGGGGGGGGGGGGGTCCACTGAATAATATTGCCCTAATATTCCATTGAAGAATTTAATGCAGAACTGAAACTCAAAGCGTTAAAGGTCAGAGTGCCACATGTGTCTGAGAAACAGCTGGAAAGATATTTATAACATCAGAAAAGTAACATTAAATAACTGTACATCTTGGAAGCAAAGGTCGGGCTACTGCACCCTTCCTGAGAGGCCAGCATATATTACAAGCTTGGCTTAATAAATAATAAAGAGAAGACATGCCATAATAGCAGCAATAGTCACATGGACAAAGAAATCTGTTCATTTGGGTCTCAAGTATTAGGACACATATCCACCTCATTCATGCGATTCTACTGCCACACCTACATGTGCATGTCTAATAGTGCGGCCATGGAGTTTATAGCCATCCAGAGTCACTAATGCCACGGTGCCTGGCTGCAGTTCCTCGGCTGGCACATGACACACCACTTCATGATCGTAAGGGTCATATTTGCCACCAACAGGGTTCATTTTGTGCAGGCCGTGTTTAGCAAATATGCCTTGCAGTTTGGACTCTATGACAGACAGGCCTTCACAGATCTTCTTCAGAGCCAGAGCTGGGTCACTGTGCTCGTTAACAGCACACTCTGTGGTTTTCTCGAGAATATCTGCAACCTCTACCAGGTCTCTGCAAAAACTCTGGATGCCTGCAGATACAGAAATAAGCAGGAGGTCAGGGCATACACAGGTCAAGATGCAGATGACAACATGTCAGATCACAGTCCTTGTCACCATCTCTAAAAAATACAGCGTCCTGCTGATACTGGCACTGTGCTTCAGAGACAGTGAAGAGTGCATTTGTTTCCACTGAGCTGTTCCCTGCACCTCACATTTCCCATGACTGGTCTTCCATAGCATACAGATTTTATTATTTATCAGATTTCTCTCCTGTTTTTCTCTTACAGCTTAAAGCAGCTTATATTATTCTTCTGCTGTTCTCAATTTTATCCCCACAACAACAACCCTGTGAGGCAGGCTAGGCCGAGAGCCTGTGCTGGGTTTGAAGTCACCCAGTGGTATCCATGGCTGAGTGGGGACTAGCGCCCAGGTTGCTTGAGTCCCAGTCCCACACTCTTAACCACTACTCCACACTGGCTACTGGCCTCTGTGGTCTTAGAGAGCAACATATACCAAGCCTAGGGGTGGTATTTTCACCTGATGGGTTTGATTCATCCTCATCAGAATTATGAGAATTCTGCTTCTTCCAGGATGCATCCCCCCAACTCTACAATCCACACAGAACTGCTCCAACATACCAAAAGGATTGTGAACAATGTTCTCTTTGACTAGTTAGACTTGTCAGATAACAACCCCTCTGGAAGACGCCTCAGAGTGTGCTCACTGTGTGCAGAGCTCTCATGTTAAAATCAGAACCCACATAAAAGCAATGGAAATGCAATTTTGCGCATCAGTTTCAAAGCAGCGGTATGTTTATCAGATCTCTCCTTAGCTCATAGTAGATTACAATTCACATGTAAGCAAGATATTTTTCAGAAGTGTGTGAAATCTAGGATGATTTACTAATACACCAGAATCACAACTGATCGAACTTATTGCCTATGCAATCTTGCATCACGTTTGTTGTGTTCTCTTTTGGAGCTCCCTGTTGTTTGCTTCTCAGACCCTCTGAGGAGGCTGGCTTTGACCTTTTAACCTGCTCACAGCTTGGGGTCTGGGCACCTTAAGAGCCACCTTACCCTATATTAACCTGCCTGAAAGGTAAGGCATTGCAACATCCTTCCCACAGCCCCATTACTATCAGAGATCAAGCAAGCAGCAACAGGGAAGGGGGCTTTCTGAACTACAGTTTCTGGGTTATAACCCACTCTGGCCTGATACACACTGCATTACCTTTCAGGCATCAGATTAATTCTCTCAGGTGTGCACATTATATATTAAACACTGGAGATGCAGTTTTGACTGCTGTTTTAATTAACATAATTTAACCATGTGTTTACTGGCTTCAACTATTTTAAACTGTTAGTGTAACTTTAAAAAAAAACCTCCATTGTAAACTGTTCTGGGATAAATATTATGAAGCCCAGATTAACTATTTAAACAAGCAGGCATTACGAGTATGTAGACATGTAGGCAATGCTGCAGCAGGCTCTCCTTCTGCCCCACACTGCCACCTTTTAACTTACCAAAAATCTTGGCATCCTCTACAAACTTTTGTGTCCGCCGCCTGACATTTTCAGAATCTGTCAGGGCTTTCTGGTACCGTTCCTACACAAAGAGCAAAGAGACAGAGTCAGACACAAGGACAGTAGCTGATGCAACAGAACAAGGGACATAATAGATTGCTGCAGACTCAGAGAAAAAGGATCAAGTATAGTTTATGGGACAAATGCAGTCCAGAACTGTTGCTCTGCACAAGGAGATTACTTGCTGCAGAAATGACCTCCTCCTGTCATATTTTTTTAAACCTGCTTTGACATCTTCCCCTCCACTTCAATATACTTTTTCACTAACAAAAGAACAACTGCAGCGAATGTGTAGGGTAGTAGATGTGCATATACACACATGCACGCACACACACATATGAAAGACAGCTAGACTAACGGAGTAATTTCAACATAGAGCTAAATGCATTGGTTTCCACCCTCACAAGTTAAGCAGACGATTAGACAAATGTGAAAGCAGCCTCTCTCGCAGAAACAGTTTCACACAGCCTACTGCTATTGTGCCTCCTCAAACTGCCCACAAGATAGAATAGACACTATTGCCCATGTGGTTATTAGAGTGCACCTGCTCCATGGAAAGTCGGCCGAATTAACCTTCTTGCTTGCTGGACAATGATGGGCAGAGTGGGCACACATTCCATTCCATTCCAGCCAGCATGTATTGGGAACAGCAGCAAACAGAATACTGTTTTCCCTGTAGCTGGAGAAGAATAGTGTTGCCCGATCCAACTCAAAAGAATCTAGTTAGCCAGCAGTGATAGCACTGTGTTGGCAGAACAGATATTGGACAGGGATCTAGCCATTCTATCCTATTTGCAAGAATGGACGACTGCCTTCAACAGATGTTCAAAAATTGGTATTACCATAAGAAACCCAGGCACAAAAAGTTTAGTGTGCAATCCTATACATGCTTCAACAGATAAAAGCTCTACAGAGCCCAGTATATTCCAGCCAGCATGAATCGTGCTGCAAATCCATGAATTTATTCTTACTAGAAAGATGCTGTAATTCTTTGTTTAACTGAAAGTTAAGCAATACCACAGTAAAGACAACTGCCAGCTATTTTGAGAGCATCTTTAAAACATAGCGCAACGATTGCTACACATGGAAAGGAATGTACAGTGTGATCCTATGCATGTCTACTCAGAAGTAAGCCCCACTAATGTAGATAGGATTGCAACCTTTACCACTGAGATGGCAAAAAACAGTAGTTTGGTTAGAATTGCGAAGTCATCCTCAATTATGGTCTGTAGCAAACAGTAGTGTGTGAAGTTTTACTGTTGATTAAAGTTTCTATTATTGTGTTGTTTCACTGTTACACTTTATTGTTGTCTTGATGATATATTTTATATTCACCGCTTTGCTATCTTTCTGGAAAGCAGCATATAAATTTGAGTAATCAAAATAAATAAATTTAGTTATAGCCTTAAAACTCCTGCTAGCTACTGAAAAATCAATATCGATATTTCAGAAATACTGAACAAGTTTCATAGGGTGACTGATTTATGAACTGCAGAAGTGAGTCATGAGGAAAAACTATTTATATAACATTTTGAATTAGGTCATGACCTACTATGGAATTAAACACCAGGCCTAAACAAATTGATCAAAATGCAGTGCCTTCATACAGTTAAGTCACTGCTTCTCAAGAACATCTGAGGTTTGGAAGGGAAGTAAAAATACAAGTAATTAGATACTCCCGAAGAGTGACTCACCAGGTCACCCATCTGCAATGTTTCTGTAAGTAACAGAAACTGTCATGCCCTTGATGAGAAATCACTCTAAGAGTGATCTTCCTCATTCCAAGTGTGGTTTCATGTCTTCCTTCAATTTAGTTAGTGCCAATCACAACATTTTCTTGTTCAGTCATTGTATTTACAGCAATATAATTTCTAAATCATGTTCTTATTCAGTTATAACTTGGAAATTCCTGTGACCTGATGCAAGAAAAAAACTGCCATGCCATTACTAACGTCTCTCTAATCAAAAGGAAATCTTTCAAAATTGTTATCTGATTCCTCACATTTCATGTTTTTACTGCACTATGCACGGTAAATCATAGTGTTGAGCACTTAGGACACATACACTGAAACCACAAAACTCAGGTCTCTTAGAATGAACCTGCAGTTCAACCAAGGAACTTACTGTTAAGACCCGGACTTGTTCTTCCAATTTGATGGCTTTATGCTCTAAACTGTTCTCATTCAGGAGATGCCTTGGTTCATCATGGGGATCTTCCGGGCCACAGTCATCTCCTGTGCTCCTCTGCTGTGCGGCAGTGCTGAAGGCAAAGAGCAATCCTCTGAAATGATAAAATATCTGATGATAGAAAATGATTTCAAGGGGGAGAACAAAGCACCTGTTGGTTTTAAAAGCCAAGATTCAGCCATTGGGCTGCAATGTGTTCAGCCCTTCTGGGCAGGAATGTTATCCATACCTTTTTCCAGCAGAGAAAACCTGAGTTTGCTCAGTTTTCTGAGAAAGGAAGACTATAATATGACAACTTTTCAGAGTTTAGAAATTTGATTGCAATCTCTCTCACAGTCCAGGCCTTTAAAAAAAGAAAGTCTTTTCCAAACTGGCAAACTCCAGATGTGTTGAACTACAACTCCTATCACCTGACCACACTAGCTGGGGCTGATGGGAACAGTAGTGCTAAGCACTTGAAGGGCACCACTTCGGGAAAGCCGCTCCAGTAAACGTTGGTTGACATCTAAGAAGCAAAGCTGACTTGTGCCCTTCAGCATTTACAGTATACAATAGCCTTTTTAATTCCTGAGCGAGCTGGGTGAACCAGACTCAACAGCATGCAAACCCATGGCTGGCCTTTCATCTTTATGCTAGTTACAGCAAGAACGTAAGAACATTCTGCAGGACAAAAGCTCACTGAAATCCTCAGCTCATTTATGGGGTTGGCAACATACCACATATCCTAGCAGATCAAGCACTTTATTGCTCAGCTGAGCAGAATTCCCACCTGGAAGTATTTGGACATTTCTACAAGCACACAAGTTCCTGCCACCCAGAAGGTAAAACTTAAGTTTTGTCAGTATGCAACCCTGGGTGCTATGAAAACACGAACAAAATTTCCAGAACATGTCTATGTTACTCTGGGTGAATACAGTTAACAGCTTGCCAACATTTATTATACACAGCCAAGCTCTGAAGGACTTTTGCTTCCCAGTTCTTAGGGTAGCAAAAGAAGCAGACATCCATTTTCCCTGAAGGGTTCTTAAAAGAACTAATCAAAGCGGGTTGCCATCAATATAGAGACTCAGTTTAACAGAAAGTGCTAATGCGAGTTGAAATGTGGTCCTAAGTCTCCAACTACCTTCCAGATGCTCAGATACTGCCTAACCAGCAAACTCACCCCCATGACATTTCACCAATTCAGCCAATGCTTCCCAAGGGGCAGGAGTAGCCCTGCTAACAGATTAGGCCAAAGTTTCAAGAAAGCCAGACAGGTCAGTTGGGAACGAAGTTTCAGGATGAAGGTCGCAACTCACTGTACTAATGATTTTCTCATTAACATGGAAACAAATAACAACTGTAACAAGCTAAAGTCTTGCAAAATGGACCTGTTCATGTTACAGACAGCCATGCTGCCTTCCCATACACCCTGTTCCATTCCTCCCCCATTTTCCTCTCTGATCCGGCAATTAGTGTTTTCCCCCAGTGAGCATACTTATTCCTTGTTGGTTTGCTTTGGGTCCTCCTCACTTAAACCTCTTCCTTGGTGTCCTTGTACTACTGACCCTTGGATTCCCTCCAGCCTGCCAATTCACCTCTCTTGGGCAACTCTAGCTACAAAAGGATTGACACTCACAGAATGAGCTTGCCCTCAATATCCAGGCTCCTGTATCCTGGGGCTCTCCATATGTGCGGGCCATGCTGGCTGGGAATTATGCAGGTTGTGGTTGGGAAGGACTTATGGGGGGACTCATAAGGCAGCCCTCCCCAACCTGGGAACTATGGAAACTGTCTGGTTGGGCAGGCCTGCCGTACTGGGTGGTGGTAAGGATTATTGGGGTACATAATGTACATTAGGTCTTGAGCTTTTAGGTAAAGAGCTACATGTTGAAGCTATTATTGCTGTGAGGCTGAGAGCAAGAATACAACCTCCATTCAGCAAAAACTCTTCAAAGAGTGATTGCCCTCATGAAGTAGGAGCCCTTCTCTAGTATAGACCAATAACCCCTTCTGGCTGCATCTGAGTCAGTATGCACAGGATTGCACAATGAATGGCTAAGACAAATGCTACAGCTTGGCAGATGAGCTAATTCATGACGGCAGGCACAAGTTCTTAAACACATCTATTTGCCCTAGTTTCAGTTCATCCCCATCCACTACCATGCATCTGCTCTATTTCAAAGTTTCCAAAACAAAAAGTAAAGCCAAAAAGAAAAAAAAAAAAAGAGCCAGGAGGGGGTCTGTTTCATTTCCAAAAAAATACAAAGCATTGAAATGAAACACACCTTCTGAGGCTGGTACTAAAAATGACATCTGACCTCCACTACATGATTCTTAATCAAAAACAACATTTTCTGGCCCCTTTAAAATGGCTCACTGATAGTCTATAGTTTGCAACAAGAAGCTCATGATCTGAGCCATAGTCAGTTCCTGGTCTAGTTTTTACTGACTGTATAGAGCTTCTCCATCTTTGGATGCAGAGCACATAGTCAATCTGATTTCTGTGTTGACTGTCTGGTGATATCCATGTGTAGAGTCGACTCTTGGGTTGTTGGAAAAGAGTGTTTGCTATGACCATCGTATTCTCTTGACAAAATTCTACCAGCCTGTGCCCTGCTTCACTTTGTACTCCAAGGCCAAACTTGCCTGTTATTCCAGTTATCTTTTGGCTTCCTACTTTAGCATTCCAATCTCCCAGGATGATAAGGACATCATTTTTGGGTGTTAATTCTAGAAGGTGTTGTAGGCCTTCACAGAACCGGTCAACTTCAGCCTCTTCAGCACCAGTGGTTGGGGCATAGACTTGGACTACTGTGATGTTGAATGGTACAGTCAGAAGTATAGATGAAGTACAGTCAGACGAAAGTACAGTCTCACGAAGCATAGTCAGAAGAAATTGCCCTCTAAAAAATTACCCAGTTTAGATTTTACAGCAGAGGTGCTTGCAGAAAGGTAGTGAAGGCTTAAGACCCAATTGCTAATCTGGTTGCAGGGACTTGAGCATACAAGGAGGAAATGCCCCTCCGCTAACACCCCCGACAACTAGGCACCTCATTTTCCTCCTGCTTGGACAATCTTCTCCACACACCTGAAGGCTGGGGATGGAAGCCATACTGCATTAGGCTGGAAGACAAATTTACAAAGCTAGGGGAGGGGAGCTTTTCTTCCCGCTGAAGTGCTGATGCACTAAGTATGGGTGTCAAGAATGGGACTCAGTACTCAGGATGGGGTCTATTATTGTTGTTGGTCACGAAGTCGTGTCTGACCCATCGCGACCCCATGGACAACATTCCTCCAGGCCTTCCTGTCCTCCATCATCCTCCGGAATCCACTTAAGCTCACACCAACTGCTTCAGTGATTCCATCCAGCCACCTCATCCTCTGCCGTCCCCTCCTTCTTTTGCCATCTATTGTTCCCAGCATTAGGCTCTTCTCCAGGGAGTCCTTCCTTCTCATTAGGTGGCCAAAGTATTTGAGTTTCATCTTCACTATCTGGCCTTTTAAAGAGCAGTCAGGGTTGATCTCCTCTAGGACTGACCGGTTTGATTGCCTTGCAGTCCAGGGGACTTGCAGGAGTCTCCTCCAGCACCACAATTCAAAGGCCTCAATCCTTCGGCGCTCAGCCTTCCTTATGGTCCAGCTTTCACAGCCATACATTGCAACTGGGAAAACCATAGCCATAGTGTGGATGCCCAGAATGGGACATGGTACTCAGGATGGGGCCCAACCAATACAAATAGAGGGGAACTAGTACTTCATATAATTTGGAGGCCATATACCTATTAATGCAGTGCAATACAGCATTTGCCCTTTTTGCAGTCACATCACATTGGTGACTCATATTCAACCTGTGATCTATGACAACTCCAAGATCCTTCTCACTTGTAGTCAGGGTGAATAAAAATTGATGTTTTTTTTTTTTAAACTAAAAAAAACAGATTAAGATTTAATCAGATTTGTTATTTAAACCAGATTTTTAATTTTAATTGTATTTTTAAAATAAAATGTTTTTGAGGAAAATCTATCTAAAGATAGTTTGTCATTTAAGACACATTCTAGTCTAAAGGTTATTCATCATGAAATAAGGATTAATTTTTAATTATGTAGCACAAGTCTGTATATTCATGGAATGTTTAAATGTTTTGATAAACAAATTCCATTAATCCATTCACAATGCCATGTTCTTCCAGAGGTTTCTGTAAGATTATTGGGCATTTTTTTCTGTCTAGAAGATATTATCACAGATGCTTGGTTTTATAGTAGTTTTAGACCTGATGGCCTTCTTGGCCCCTTCCAACTCTACTATGATTCTGTGATTCTCAAAACTGTGAATGTTTGCAGAGATCACATGTCTCTTCTTCACAACAAAAATATTATAAAGCAAAGATACAGAGTTGAGAAAAAGACCTTAACCCCATTGTTCCTCTACAAATCTATCTATACAGAATCAACCCCTTACCTCTTAAGTGCCAAGTTTCAAAAAATTAAATGACTAAGAAGAAGATTGTTGGGAGTGGAACAGAACTGTATAAGAAGTTAAGTGTGAGGAGGAAGAGGCAAGCAGTGAAAGTGAAAGTGAGCCCTTCTGAGCAGAATATTCAAGCCTTTGGATCTTTTTGTATATAGGCTGAGATTTTTCATATTATTCTTTCCCTGAAGGAGAAAACCTATAATGGCAGCAGGCTGCAAAAGTGACCCAGTTTGGGAATATTTTAATAAAGTTCCTCAACTTATGGGTAAGGCATGCACGCATGCAAAACCATGATTTATATCTAATCTTACTGACTAGTGATTTAAATCAAATATATCCTACTATAATTACTGTCTCAGTAATTATTTACCTATTGTTTGACTGTGGGGATTTTTGTGCTCTATCTGGTTATTCATTCACAAATCTATTTTATTTATGCATTATATTTTTCTCACTTTTTATTTATTTTGTATTTATTTCAGATATTTGTATGCCGTGCTTTGCAAGAGCCTCAGGACAGCTTACACTTTTTCCTGCAAGGAACCAAAAGCAGTTTATATAACCCTTTTCCCTTGAAAGTGGGTTAGGCTGAGAGAAAGTGACTGGCCCAGTGCCATCCTGTGAGCTTCATGGCCAAGGGAAGTCCAGAACCTGGATCTCTCCGATCCCAGTCTGTTATGCCACACTGGCCCCCTGGAATAGAGCTGTGGATCCCTCTAAGGTGGAGATTTTTGTATGACAGAGTTAGGGACAGTCCACCATGTTATTCATGGTGAGACTTAAGGAAAACTTATTTTTTAAAAGTCATATTAACAAGGAAGCAGTCATAGATCTAAGGGCTACCTTCACAGTGATCATGAAACCCAATTTATACAATTCCCATTTTAAAAAGCCCAAACAATTTTATCCTAGAATATTAGATTACTGTTCTAGATTCCCCTACACATACCAAAAACTACTGCATACAGTTAAGCAGTGTAATACAAAAACACACACTCCTTTTCTTCAAACAATATCATGTAAGGCCTTATACCAAGTAATTTTAAAGCAGCAGTTTTGATTCTGTAAGATGCAGATTATCAGAACAAGGCTAACACAACCTGCAGTCGACATCTATTTACTGTTATTACTGAACTTATGATATAGACATTTTTCTGAAGAAAAATAAAGCACTGAAAAATGTTTAATTTTGGAAAATTTCCCACCTCACAATCAATGGCCACATCACACAGAGAAGCAGTGAGGGGTGGACTAAGCCAAAAGGTGCTTCAAATTGATCAACTGACTTTCAAGATTGCTTTCCTCTGGTGAAGAATGAAAACCTTTGAAATGCAATGTGTGTGTGTGTGTGTGTGTGACACGTAACATATAAGCTACTCATAAAGATGCTGCTATCCTGGGTTTAGACAGGGACTTTAGATATTTTTGACTTAAGCAATGTTTTCAAAATATGGACAGACAAGCAGTAAGACAAGTAGTAGCTCTGTGAAAAATTTAGCCTACAGACCAGTTTTACTCTGAAATAAGTAGACGTCATCCTCTACCCCTTACCCTCATTTCAAACTAAATACCAGTCTGTCAATATTGTCACCAGATAGCCCAAAACCATTAAAAGGGGCCTAGCCCAGCATTTCCCAACCCGATACTCTCCCACTGTTTGGGACTTCAATCCCCATTAGCGCCACAGAACAAAGTCAATGGTCAGGAATGCTGGCAGTTGTAGTCCATACCATCAAGAGGACTCCTGGTAGGTGAAGAAAGGATCAGAAAGATTATATCATATAGTCCATACAGCAACATTACGAGTACAATGAGCTAGCTGCATGTTCAGAGGCAGTGTTCCTATGAAGAAGCTGGGAGGTGAAAGGAGTTGAATGTTGTCTTTATGCCTATGGATTTCCTGAAAATATGTTTCTCTGAAGTGCCCCTTTGAAACTAGATCTCTAGCTCTAAAATCTACTTTGTCAAAAAATTAAAAGTGGCTATTGTTTTATATTGTATTTATTTTGTGAGCTGTCCCCAAAAACTGTGTTTTAGGGTTGCTGGTATAAACATAGCAAATTGAGCAATCTACTGTTACAAAAAGGAACACTCGTAAGCCGCCCCGAGGTTTCGGCAAGGGGCGGCATAGAAATGCTATAATAATAATAATAATAATAATAATTAGTAGCAGGAAACCTACAGCCTCCCAGGCCTGGGAAGTGCAGGTCAAGTCATACCCCCTCCTGACCACACCCCCTCGCATGTCCCTTTCCTGCAGCAACTCAGTCTCTATCTTCATTGTCAGAACATCTGCATTCCTCTTTGTGCAAGGACAAGGCCATGCCCTTAGGCAATGCCCACTGGAGAAAGGGCTACACACATAGAAAAGGGCTAAAGCATGAGGCAGTTGGGTGAGAGAACCTAAAGATTGCATCAGCATCAGAACAGGAAGCACATGCAGGTCATTTGAATGCAGAGGTGGAAATAAGTCTGTAGGGAGAGAAAGGGGGGAGGGGGAGAGAAGCAAGATGGGGGGGGGGACTGCCTTGACTACACTCAAGTCCTGCTTTGACTGGGTCTACTTCTGATATATATTCTGCCCCCTCCCCAAGAAAGGTTGCATAGAAACAAATGTGGCTCTTGGGAAATGCTGAGGAATGTTTCTCACATTTGGACTAGGTGGGCACTTGGGTCTGATGAAAAAGGTTCTTACCGTCTTGAAATCTGAGACAGTACGAGCACCCTCTAGGAACAGACCAATCAGCCACCTAGTCCTGGTGCAAAACTTCGCAGGTGTACAGCATCTCTAACTCATCTTTCCCAAACGGGTGCCCTCTGGAAACGTGGCTGGGGCTGATAGGAGTTCTAGTGCAACACATCCGGAGGCACCGTTGTGTGAAGGCTGGCTTACAGTGCAGTGTGCACAGTGGAATAGAGGGTGGAAGGGAGAGGGCAAGAACAATTTCAGCACCGAGGAGCCACAAATGCACTTGCTACGATCAGTACGGCTGTAGAAAAGGTCGTTCGGCCAGCTGCGTTAGTTGTGCCGCGAGGGAAGAGAAGCTCGGAGAAATTGTGGGCGACCGTGCGGGTCTCGAAAAGGCACGCACAGGACAGGAGGCATCGCAAGGGCCTGGATGTGGCAACCTCGAAGTGCCGAAACGCGTTCCGGGTGGAGGCCATTCTTCAACACGGCGCAGGATGCCGCAGCGAAGGAATCTGGGAGACGAAGCGGCAGCGGATTTACCGCCAGGAGATTAAGGAGGGAACGCTTTAAAACGGCCTTGCCCAACCTACTGCCCTCCAGATGTGTTGGATCACGATCGCCATCACCGCTAGGGATCGCTGGCTGGGAAGGTTGTGGATTTCAGTTCAACAGATCCACCACGCTGGGGAAGGCCGCTTTAAAACAAAAGTCCAGAAAGCGTCTTCGGGGGCTGCTGCAAAGCAGCCCCACCTTTGCAAAAAGGAGGCACACACTCCTCCTTCCCCCTCCCACCCGTGGAGACCGCCTGCGCTGCGCACCTTAGGGCAACCCGCCCTCTCTCCCAAAGGTGGATTGGGGGCAAGAGCTGCAGAAAACGGACAGAAGGGGAGCAAACTCTCGACGGGCCGCAGGAAAAGGGCTAGCCCTTCCTTCCAGGGGGCAGGAGAGCGACGACTACACCAGCGGGCGACTGAGGAGGACGGGGGTATAATTAAAGGAAACGACTGATAGCAAGACGACGGCGGAGACCCCCCCTTCCCCGTACCTGTTGGAGCACGACTGACGAGGAGTGAACTGGAGCAACAGGCTGAGACGATTCCATGCCGCCCGCACAGAACCGCTTGCTGCCATAGCGCGCCGCCGCCGCCGCCAGACGAAGCCTGGCGGCCAGCGGACCTCCAGGCGCCGACTGGAGAGAGCAAGGGAGGACACACGGCCACTGCAGCTCCCGTCAGCCACCGCGCCCGTGGGGGCCTACGAACTCCAACTCCCGACAGCCCTCGCGCTACGAGGAGGCACCGCCTTGCAGAAGAGGTGCAATAGGCTGAGGCGTGCGTGCGTAGGGAGGGGATTTATTGGATAAGGAGAGGGCGTTCGGCTGCTTAGCTCTAAGGATTGATGGCTGGCTGGAGCACCGACGCTGCAGGCAGACATTCAACAGGTCGGGTAAATCCCCAGCATAGGGCTAGAAAGATTGGAAAAGGCGGAACCACTGGATTTTGTGCCCATTCGGCGGCGATCTATCAGGGGGGAAGTCCACCTGCGCTTTCAGTGCTAGCCAAAGCCACCCTCCCGCCTCCTTGGCCGACCTTGTTCCAGCCTGGCTGAACATCTTTCTTTTTTGTTATTACAAGGGGCTGTATACCAAATTACCTTTTTAGGGCTAAGGAAGGGGAAACAGAGAGAGGGCGAAGTGGTTTTCTATTCTTGGTCATAGATGACTCACAGGACAGGATCTCTCTCTGGTTTCAGCAAGTTCCACGATATGAACATTCCTGATTTCGTCTCCCAGATCTTCGGGTCAGCTGCAGTACAGCTGGAACAGCTCATAGGGGCTGGTGGTGTAGCTAGAGCAGCATCCTAAGTAAGGCATGCTGATCCTCTGCTGGCTGTTACTACGGAAGCATAACAAGTTATCAGGAGCCCTAAGTAGGCTCAAAATATATGAAGGACAGCATGATATCAAGGCCTCTCATTCAGTCGCAGTATGCATTCTCCAGGGTTGCCAGCAATCTCATTTTATTGGCACAACCAGGAAAAAACGTCTTCTAGATATCCAGTGCTGTGCTCCAAAATGCTAGTAAACGATATTGCCAGCCTGAAATTGCTTTTGATCCCAGTCCTGGGCCCAGCAGGCCTTGCTGTGGCTCTATGTAGGGAGCCACTATTTGCTCACTGAAGCAATTGTCAACAGATCCTTCTCTGCTCATTTCTGTGATAACCGCTGGTAATTAGTGCATCAAGCAAACCCACAATAGGTTTGTCAGGGGGGCTTATTGGGGGGTTATTAATGACCCTGACAACCTGTGGCTTGCCACTGGGGTTCTTTGGCTGATCACTGGTCAAGCCCAACAACAGGCAAACCGATTGGCAAGAGTGACAAAACCCTCTTGTTGCTCTTGCCAAGGGGCTAGCAGGTACACGCTTGGGCAGACCTCCCAAAGCACCCAATTGGCACTTGTGGGGTGGTGTCAAAGGCTTCCCCCGCTGCCACTGTGAGCCATTTTCAGCTTAAAATATCTCCTTAGTTTTTTTTTAAAGGGATGAACTCAATTGACCCACCCTTGAGCAGTCCCTCTGAAGACCACCAGCAGTACCCTGGAGGGCTGCACAGGATGGACAAATATTTTTCATTAATCTTTGCAAATAACATTTTCAAAAATGTCTTGCTGCCCATGCACAACTTCAGGTGATCACAGTTACATTCGAGTGGCAATGAGTGCCCTGGGAAGGCTACTGGGCAGGGTGTGCCTCCTGGCAAAGTCCAGCTGACAGCTGCAAGCTCACTGTCTCCCACCGGTGCAGGTAAATAGATCACATATCACTATCCTGAGGAGATCATTGCTAGTGTAAAGGAGGCTCAATGCCTGTTTTTTTGCAGCAAGATCTCCCAGATCCTCTTGTCTTCGTAGTGCTCCCTCCATTTTGCATGATTCCTGAGGTGCTGCCACTGTGAGAATAGGCAAAATCGGGGGGATGGGGCAATCGCTTTCATTGGTAACGATTACATTGCCCCATCATGGAAATCCTCACTAATTTTACACAGTCCTGGATGGGTATCATCCTATTTATTTGCTTATTTATATTTGTTTATTAATTTATTAGATTTATATCCCCCTTTCTTTTTTATTTTGAAGAACTCAAGGCAGTTTACATCATTCTCTTCTTTCTCTCCATCTTATCTCCACCACGACAACCCTTTTGATTAGGTTGGGCTAAGAGTATGTGAGTGGCCCAAGGTTGGCTCCATGGCTCTAGAGTTCCAGTCCCTGCTACACCACACTGGCTTTCACACTGGTTCACCTTGAGAACTGTGTAAAATGGAAGGGACACTGGGGGGACCTGCCCCCCACCAAATCCTGAGGACCCTGCTGCTAACAGCGTTTTCCTAAACCTCTCCCCACCACTACCTTGCACTCCACTTTTTAAAGCAGATTTGGAGGAGGCCTGTTCAGTCATTAAGTCATGTCCAACTCTTTGTGACCCATGGATCAAAGAGACCAAGTCCCCCTGTCCTCCAGTGCCTCCTGGCGTTCATCCCAATTCATGTTCATTGCATCAGTGACACTATCTAAGCATCTCATCCTCTGCGGTCCCATTCTCTTCTTGCCTCCAGCCCTTCCCAGCATCAGGGTCTTCTCCAGTGTGCCCTCTCTTCAAATTAGGTGGCCAGAGTATTTGAGCTTTCGCTTCAGCATCTGTCCTTCCAGTGAACAGTCAGGGTTGATTTCCTGGAGGAGACTACCCTCTTTTTGGCGGGAACATAGGCGTCGTTGCCATCTGTGTGCCATAGTGTGGGTTGTCATGTTGTGCACACCATCTTTTGTACAGTTTTGTGTGCTGCTGCTCTCTGGCACTAGGAGCTTTTGCTGACTTAGTAGCGTCAACCTCTGCCGATTGCCAGCACAAACACCTGGCTGGGGTGTGATGGTCAAACCGTCCTCTTCCCTGATGCTGTACACATTTGCCAGCCCAGCAGCTCACACCACCGCCATATTGGACTGCAACCTGGCATCTTGATGCTGACTACTGCAGCTACTTGCAGTGAGCCCAAGTTGTGTCTAAGCAAATACAAATTGGTTGGATCCAGGATCTGTGTTCTGCAAAAGGAAGGGCTTCCCTTGCAAAAGATCTTTCTGCCGCATTTTTAGGGTTCCCCCTCCCCTACAGCTCACCCCATTCAGCAGTCTCCCGAGCATTGGGTAGCATTTTCATGGGGCTGTATTGGGATGGAGCAGGCAGGGAGTTCCACATTCATCAGCAGACGTGATCTAACCTAAATGTCTAGATTTGACGCAGCTTTCCTCCCAAGGAGCAAGCATTCTTGGCTGGAGTCACCATCTGCGGTGATCTTGGAGCCCAGGAAAATAAAATCTGTCACTACCTCCATTTCTTCCTCATCTATTTACCAGGAAGTGAGAGGACCGGATGCCATGATCTTAGTTTTCTTAATGTTGAGTTTCAAGCCAACTTTTGTGCTCTCCCTTTTCCCCCTCATGAAGAGGCTATATTTAGTTCTTCCTCACTTTCTGCCATTAGAGTGGTATTGTCCCTGTATCTGAGGTTGTTGCTATTTCTCCCAGCAATCCTAATTCCAACTTGTGATTCATCTAGCCAGGACTTTCACATGATGTACTCTGCATATAAGTTAAATAGGCAGGGAGGCAGTATACAGCCTTGCCATACTCCTTTTCCAATTTTGAACCAATTAATAGTTCCATGTCCAGTTCTCACTGTTGCTTCTTGACCCACATAGAAGTTTCCCAAGAGACAAATAAGATGGTCTGGTACTCCCATCTCTTTAAGAACTTGCCACAATTTGTTGTGATCCAAAATAGTAAAAGGCTAAAAGCCCATCAATAGTAGCTAGCAAACACAGTCAAAGGCCCTTGGAAAACAGACCTGGTCATGGTCCCCTTGCACAGACAGCAATAGATAAGGTCATCAGAAGCAATCAAGCACCCACCCAACAGTTAGCATAAGTTTGGGAAGCTCATCCTTAGTAGCATGTACAGAGAAAAACAGGATAAAGATCCGGGACTTAGGAAAGGGAAGAGACAAGCCCTAAACACAACCAAGGCAAGCTTTGTACACAAGTGGGGGTCAGCTCTGAACATAGGCCTGGCCCCCAAGCCTGCGGATGCCTTGCACCTTCGTGCCCACACAGAGTTGCTGTCAAGAGTATGCCCTGCAGGACAGCTCATGGATGCCCTCTCTCTTCGTTAGCTTCTCTGTGTGTTAGGCAGGAAGTCCTTTATCGCTTTAGAAAAATAGGGTAAGATTGGAATGCAGCAGGAATATTTGCTGTTGAGACAACACTGGGTTAAAAGCTCGTTCTTGCTCTGTATTTTCCACTGAATAAACCTTTTTTCCCAAGTGTTGCATGACTTTGTGCCAGTGCAAAACAGCCCTTGTTCCTTCTGGCAGTGCGTGTTGAACTGCAGCAAAAGACCCCAAACCTTTGGAGGCAATTTGGCAGGCAGGCACCTTCGTTCAAGGTGTATGTCTCCCCAAGATTGCCTGCCATAACAGTGGGCTGCAGGAGATTGGTGGTGCTTAAGTTCTGTCTTCCCCTCCCCTCAGTCCATCCTCTGTGTGTGTTAGCTCAGTGCCACCACCTGTTCCCTTTCCTGCTATTCACCTACATAACATCTAGGTGGTACTGCACTGCAGTGGAATAACACAATTACACAGGTAGAAAGATGTTTTCTTTTAGTTTCACAAATGATACTCCTATTTTCTCCACTCTACCTGCCACCCCCTGAAAGTACTCTCATGCAAAGCTGCAAGGTCACAACTTCATCTAAAGAACAGTAAAGAATGAGTGTACAGTAAATGTGCAGAAAAGCTCTAAAAGGAGGAGATAGGGGGGAGGGTGGGTGTGTTTGCACATATATACATGTCCCTTTGCCATAAGAAGTAGGTGTGTTACTGTGACAACCCCAGGCAGCCCAATGCCCTCTGAATGTTTCTGTATTACAATGTGGGAATCCAAAGTCTGTATTTGCAACCCAATATTGACTTAAAATTCATTAGCAAAAAGCAGCAAAACCCATCCACTCTGTACAAAGATCATCTTTTATTGGGGGTGAGGGGAAGAAAGGGAGAGGATCCAGATCTTAAAGTGCAGACAATTCTTAAATAAAAAGTATGTCACAATATGCAACCAGAAAAGACAAGCACCCCGTCCCCTCCCTTTATACAAGAAATGCAGGTTGGTACAGCTTCTGGTCTGTTGGAATAGCAGAGCATCAGGATAACTGCAGGCATTGCCTATGGGCTTCACCTGTAATCCTCTTCTCCCAACCACTTTTTAGGTTTTAATTCTCTTCCTCTTCCATGAATGAGGCAGACCTGAAACTGACTGGGGACCTAAATATATGAAGAGAACTGGACTCATCACTTTAAAATAAAAAACCTGTCCCCTACACCGCACTCCATCCCTCACTCCCTTGTATTGGCAAAAGAGAAATGTTTACAATGGCAGTGTTATTTTGTTATTTAGTGAGTGCACATCATGTGTTCCAGCGACTGATTTACCAAGGAGAAAAAGCCTTCAGTAGTAGCCCTTTGACCAAAAATGGTGCCATTTAAAAAAATGTAGTAGCCCTGGAACATTCTGCAGAAGCCATTTCTCTTGCTTTGTCTGTGTCTGTCCCCTCTCCTTTTTCACCTGACATTGCAAGTGAGTCCAATTCTGCTATGCAGCCCAACGTGAAAGGGGAGTGGGCAAAGGTATTGCAACCATAGTCGGGTGAGAGAACTTTCTAGACTGTGATAAAAATTACCTTATTCCTGCCTGTAGCAACTGATCTTATCTGGTATAGTAAACATCTTGGAAGATATCCTGAGAAAGAGTATGAAAGTTGACAGAGTACTCCTTAGCACAGGTCAGTACTGAGAGTCCTGAGATTTTAAATAAAACACCACATTTACAATGTTGTTTCCCTGTTAGGCCCTTTGTCTGGGGGCTAAGCCAATTGTAGCTGCCCAAATCTGGCTTGGCAGGAAGCAAGACAGGGAAACAGGCTGACAGTCTCATGGGCTGTAAATAGCATCCTTCAAGAGGACTGACTGAAAGGCACTTCGTGTCATGCCTCGTTTCCTAGGGGTGAAGGATGCTCCTCTGGATTCCAGTGAGAAAGGAGCTGCAGCAAGAAAGTACAAGTGAAAAAGAAGACTTGCCCGAGGCCTTTGGCCAACTTGACTGAATGGGGATCTCCAAACTGTCTCATCATCGTGGTTATCATCTCTCCCCACCAGACCAAAATATCCATGTTGCTGTTGCTTCAGGGACAAGAGCACAACTGACCAGTCCAGATGGCTGGCATGCTAGACCTATTTGAGGTGTTTCTCCTAAACCACTCAAAGAAGAGTATTCTGAGAACACACATAAAAAAATCCTCCAAAGGATTACCCTTCCCCACCCTGCTTCCCAAACTCCCTCCCTCCCCATTTCCCACACCAGTTCGCATCTGCTTGTTAGTCCTTCCTTCCCTGGAGCGTGGGCACTCTCCTTGCTGAAGAACCGGGTTCCTCAACATCGTGCTGTCATTCTTTTGAGAGAGGAAAGGCTCTTGTGGTGCTTCAGTCTTTCCTAACTGTGTCCCAATGCTTGAGAGGAGTCATCCTCAGGGATGGGGGCACTGTGACCCTTTATGTTTTCTTCATTTCCCACTCCTAGAAGGAAGGAAAGACAACAGTGCTAAGGATTGCTTGGCTGCAAAGGAGATGGAAAGAGGTGTTTAACAGGGGGATAAGAGGCCATGCCCTTTTGAATCCAAAGTAGGTTTCTTGGGACCAAATCAGAAGGGAGAAATCTATTTGTTTTGGCCTGCAACCTCAGCCTGCACAGCTGATGGTGAGGTATGAGGGCAACTGTAGCTTAAAATATGTGGAGTCCATCCTTAGACTAGATGAAGTTTCAGAGAAGGTGAAAACCTGGTGACACACTATGAAAAAGTTGTGCTTGTATGTATAAATGTTCTCTAAATTTCGTTTGGATGCTGTTTAGGGTTGTTTTGGGATGCATTCGGAGTGGTTGCTTACATTACTTTTTCAAATTTCCCCCATCTCTTCGTGGACCCCACACTTGGCATTTTTCATGTTCAAGTGTCTACTGAGGAATACCACTCTGCCATTTTGTATTATATTAGATGCCACCACCTCTAGGAAGAGATTAATATTATGTTTCCTTGCATCAAAAATGGCAGCAAGTCTTGGGCAATACACATCACAAGAACATGTGTATCCCTCAGATCATGCTAAGCAGTCACTGTATGGGACTTTGCATTTAAATTTTAAACATCTCTGTTTAAACATCTCATGCTACATCTTCAACATCTCATATTGCCCCTACTGTATTTATAAAATTCAAAGTCAAAAACGGTCATGATGATGGCAAGAATAAAAGGTTTTGGCTTTGATCTAAAAGGTGGTTTGTGCAGGCAGAAAGGAATTTCCATTTCACAGCAGCCATCTAGCCCAAATTTCTTCTGCCCTGGTACTTGTGAAACCAGGACATTTGGCAACAGAGCTACTTCTGCAGCAGGACAGATCAAGCGTCAGCAAACACTGTTGCTCTCCAGTCTCCACTAGATTATGGAACACCTGAAGAACTTGGTAGCAGGTGAGCAGAGGAAAGGGGGGCATTCCTGGACATGAGGACAGTAGCATCATGGTGGCAGGACTGCCAGGGATGCAATACTGGCACTTCTTCATTATCTGGCAGTCCTCCTAAGACTTTCCTGTTCCCTCTGAACTTAATTGCATTCCTCACCACAGTAGCTAGGAAGAAAACGAACCTTCCCAGTGACATGTATTGCTTCCTCTTGTAATGTGAAGTATTTTGGGCTGGAATGGGTAATTAAGATCCAAGAGCTTGACAGAAACCAACCCCTGGTGGAGATGAAACTGCTGAAACTGGTTCACTGACAGGGCTCAGCACCACTGCCTGCATTTTATTTATTTATTTATTTAAAACATTTCTATGCCGCCCCCATCGCAACAAAGCCTCGGGGCAGCTCACAAAGAATACATACATAAATAATGATAACAAAAAAATTGTTTAAAAACCCCCAGTGCATTCTCAGCTAAAAATTTTAAAATCCTAATTAATTCAATAATTTAACAATTAAAATAAGTTTTAAACAAAAAGGTCTTCGCCTGGCGCCGAAAAACAAATAACGGCGCCAGGCAGACCTCTCTGGGGACTCTTCTTGGCTTCCGGGCTGTGGGGACTGTTAGCTTGAGTACCTGCATTTCCATATGTACCACAACTCCACTCCCAAGGGAATTGAGCTGTTACCTTGGCCTTCTGTAGGACATTCCCTTTATTGGCAGGGAGGAGGGAAGGGCTCCGTTTCCTCATTTCTGCTGCACAGTTAACTGGGACCAAGTGCTCCAGGGGGTTTCCATTGGGCTGCGTTACAGTCTCCTGGAAGAAGGAAGATCGGAAATTGGAACTGTTACGGCCTTGGAAGATACTTGGGAGAAACCAGGTTGCACATTACTACCACAAGGAGAGTAGTAATTTGCCAGGCATTCCTTTTCTGTAGGAAGGGACACACAGTAATGAAAAGCTTTGAAAAAGGATTGCCTTTTCCACCCAAAATTGCCCATACATGAAGATAATCTTTGGTGGCTCTTCTAAGCTGCCCTACATTCTAAGGCTAGTTAAGCAGCAAACAGAGGCCCAACGGATACATGTGGATGTCTTTTTAGTATCAGCAAAGACCTTTTTCCCAAGGCCTCTGAAGACATTCCTAGGAAACAATCCTTTGGCTGCTACATGGGGTCTAGACAGCCATAGGACTGCATGGGAAATCACTCAGGCCTCATAGCTGGAGCTCTGGTCTGCCTCCCCACGATGTAGCCCGTGCGGAAAGAACCGTGCTGGCTGTGTCTCCAAGGCCACTCTTCCGAGAAGGCTTCTGAGGGCATGGAGGGGAGGAGACCAGTGCAGCCAAGATCCTGGTGGACTCTCAGCCTCCCTCCCTCTCACTCTAAAGTACTCAGATGACGGAAAGTGTTTTTCAGGACAGAAAGAACCCAGAGGCGACCTCTACCTCTATGCTCCTCCCACTCTCCATAGGAAGCCTGTAACCCTCCAAGTTCATAGGACTGCAGGCATCCCAGTTGGATTGTACTCTCAGTGGATACATTCCTTTCTGCAGCTCTGCCTTTCTTGTTCTTTTGCTCTTTCAGTTGGATTTAAATTTGGCTTGTTATTTTAGTTTCATTAATTTAATTGTCCCCTCCTCCTCCTCCACCTCATATCATCAGTGGAGCCAGCTGGAGCTGGGGGTCAGACTAGATGGCCTGAGAGGCTCCTTCTAATTCATTCTATTTCTGTGTTTCTATCATATTGCAAAGGGCAGCATGTCCATTACTAAAATAAGAATCACAGTCCTTTTCTCCCTGGGACCAAGAGCAATGCTGAGGCCTGTCAGATACAGAAAAGAAGTAAGGCTCAGAAACTGGAATGATTCTGCCATACCCACTACTCATGGCATATATGTGGGGAGGGCTGGACAGCTTCTGCTCAAGGGTTTTTGACAACCATTTTGAAACCAAAATATGGAAAAAAAGATTTTTCTAAGGAGGGGGCAAAGTATCTGGGAACTCTGTAGGAATGCTTGCCTTTTACTGTCTTCTCTTTCCTTCTCTGTCAGTTTAAAAAGCTCTCTCTGTCTTTGGGATGGTGCTACATCTTGACAGAAGATGTAATGCCATCCCAGGGCCTTCTGGGTAGACAATAATGGCAGGTGGCAGCTGGCCATTCTGAGGATGGTCATTCTCTTGCGGTGAAGAGAATATGCTTTCTAAACTGCAGGGTAGGGTAGAGCAGGTCAGAAGATGGTAAAGGGTAAGCCCCTTCCTTCCCTCAAATGGTCTTCCCCTTTGTTTGCCCCTCAGTAGGACAATAACATGGGAAGGGCTGCTTGGGTTCAAGCATATAACCGCCACCTCCAGGGATGGGTTTGGCTCACCCTTGGCCCTTCTCTTCTCAACAAGCCTGTGTTGCTCCCCAGCTGCCTTTGGGTCTTGCACCAGAGAAGGCCCGCTTTCTAGCTGCTGTGAGATGTCACTCCACAGGCTGTGCTAAAACCAGGAAGACATCCACCAATAATGATGGTGATTTATTTCATTTCTATACTGGCCAATAATCAAAGCTCTCCGAATGGTTTACAACAACTTATAAAATAAAACAGAATATAAAATGCAAGTAAATATAAGAACATCGTAACATTTCAGTACAGAATGAGATTCATGTTTGCATACAGCTGTATCGGGGGATGTGATCTGCAGGATAACCTGGTCCCAGGCCGTTCAAGGCTTCCTGTTTCTACTTCAAGACTCTGTACTTGACTTGGCGGCTAGTGGGTACCAGGGCAGCTGCCTCAGCACTGCTGCAATATGCTTGCAGCCAGGCGCCCCCGCCCCCCGCTCAGCATCCTGAAGCTGCCATATTGTACACCAGCTGCAGCTTCCAGACCAAGCATATCAAGTGCACTGCGGTAATCTCCATGTGAAGCACCAATGGGAAACCATCCACCAGTGGCCCGAATCTGGGGCTAGAAAGGGGAGCATCTCTTTCCTCACCTTGTTTTCCACCTTGGTGGTGACAGTGAGCCCCAGTGCTGGCCCTCCTGCCAGGGACTGCTTCAGCCTGTCTTTCACCTCTGTCAGCTTGAGTTCGAGGTCCACACGCCTTGCCTCATTGGCTTTGCACTGCTCCTCCAGGGCTGCCACATGATGCTCCAGCTCTTTCAGTTCTTTCCCTGTTTTCAGTACAGGCAAAGTCTCAATGACATTCTCAGTGGCCCCTGATCTTAAAGACAAGCAGGAAGCCCGGACCAGGGCAGTTCTCCAAGTTCTTGCCCCAAGCCCAACATTATGTGGAAGTCCCAGTCCCAGGAAAGAGTTCTTTCCTTAGAAGAGGGCAAAGAATTATTTGTTGCTGCCCTAGAAACCAGAACCTAGATCTAAGGAACTTAGAAGGGCAAATTTCAGTTGAACATTCAGAGAACATTTTTAACAGTAAGAGCAGTTTGACAATGAAATCAATTAACTAGAGGGGAGTTGGGCTCTCCATCACTGAAGGTCTTCAAGGAGAGGCCGGATTAGCCCTAAACACTGCACTGAACAGGAAATTGGACTAGATGCCCCAAATCTAAGTTAGTCAGGGCCTATCATGTGGCTCCACACTTACAGCAGAGGCACAGTGAGAATAAAAGTATAGGACTTTGGGGAGAGCACAAGGACGTGCAATTCCAATGGGAATTTGCTGTTGATGATACAGGAGTTGGGAACAATTTCTGGATGGTTTAGGCCTCCTTCTAGCACCACATTATGCATGAACAGGGAAGCTCATGTACGTCCTGCACATTATTCTCATGAAATGTAAACAGCAAGGCTGGACTTTCCTAGCTTTTCAGACAATCAACCATGTAATTGTTATAAAATAAATTCTTCTTCCAATAGGTGGTGCTCTTGGCCTGTCCTCTACCAAGGAAGCTAACAGCCTGTTTTCTAAGACAATCTTTAAGCTATGTTGAGTTGGTAATACTGAGCAGGTATAATGCACACATCCAGCACAAAAGAAGAAGGGGTGATACTAAGGATTAATGTGCAATGCCAGGCAGCAGATGTAACACTGCAGTGGTGGTCAAGACTTTGCAACAGAAACCTTGACTTGTAGCCTTCTTGAACAGAACTAGACCTCCCCCAGTGCCTTTCTGGATTGTGTGCTGCAGGTGAACATAACTCCGAATGGAGGTGTTAGTGCAAAGAGGTCAAGGGTGGGAGAGGAAAAAGAGGAACCATGGCTTTGGCAGAAGGATAATTTCCCTTGCTTGGCAATAAGACAGAGACAAGGAACCTCTGGTCCTCTTAGGCTAGGCACCTGGACTCTCCATAGGCCAAACTCCAGGTAACTGATATTACATACTCTGTCCTGCTCTGTCCTCCAACTACAGAGCTGATGGAGGGAAAGATGCACAAGCTGGGAAGAAGAATGCCTGGGTTCAAATATCTCTCCCCCACACTGCATACCAAACACATTCAAGAGTCAAGGCACACACCCACGGATGGAATGCCGACGCAACATTCCCTTCTAGATTTAGATTTGGACAGGCAAATTTCCCTGCCCTGCAACAGGCCACACCTGAGCTACTTTTCATGGCCTCTCGTAGCTCCCGCTTTTCCTTGCGCAGGTTCACAAGTTCATTCCGGATGGACGCCTTCTCCTTCTCCAATTTTTCCTTCTCAGTTAAGAACTTCCTGGCATCTTCCTCAGCCCGGTTCTTGCCATACTTGTAGTTGTTAGCATCTGTGCACACGAAAGAAGACGTAACAGGGTGGCTTCTCCATTAGGCACCTGTGCTGGGAGGCTTGTAAATTAACTTTAGAAGCAGGGAAATTTAAATGTAGGTTGGAGGTTAGAAAAACTCAGGCACAATGCCAGTTTGGGAACTGAAACTAAGCTGAAATATAAGAATGAATGTACACTCCCAAAGCAACCCTTCTACCACTGACCTAAAGACTGCTTAATGCAATCCTTGCCTATTAAAATGGAAAACAAACCAACCTGTGGCAAAGGCTGAGTGCTAGAAGCCAGCAGGGTGAAAGCTGTGCCACATTAAGTGGTCAGGAATGTAAGCTCTGATTCTATCCCATTTCCCTTCCCTCCCAAGTTGGCGGGGGAGGGGGCCCGGACAAGTGCCCGGTGGCTGCACGGTATCTAAACCTACTTGATGCATGACGCTTGACTTTAACTTGTGGGTCCACACGGCGTGATTTCTCACTGCAAGAGGAGCCATGGCGCTTCACCTGGGACCCTGATGGCCTCCCTGACTTCTCCAGCTGTATGCAGGAAGCAGAAAAGCATACACAAGTTGATGTTTCAGGTGGCATCATGAATGACACAACTGCTGGGCAACAGCAGCAAAACCAGCTGAGATCCCGAGCAGGGAAGCAGCTAATCCAGGTGTTGCTTGGGACAGGTTCCTGACTGGTTGCCAAGCATTTGGGAACAGAGCAGGAGCACATGCAACCGGAAGGAAGGCGGTGGAAAAGGACATGGTAACGGATTTTCTGCTTTTACCTCCACCTTCTCATAGGGGACTTCATCATATAACACACGGGAAGAGTCTGTTTGGTTTTCAAGGGAGCAGCTGGCCCACCTGAAGATGCACAAAAGCAGATAAAACATGGTTTATTTTTGTTTGCCAAAGAAACCCTTAAAATCTTTGCAAGCAAGAACAATGGACTCTTCCTTCCACTCTGCACTAATACACACACACACACACACACACACACACAGTTGTTTGGTTGGTTGCTAGATGTGTTCCTGTCATCATATGTGTCTTATATATATATACATATACAAGCTTCTGTATAGCCTGAAGTGCCTGATACTGCTAATTTTGGAAGTTAGGCAGGATCAGGTCTGGTTGACACCTGGATGGAAGACTTAAACATTGTGAGCTGCCCAAAGAGAGCAGTATAGAAATAACAACAACAACATCATCATCATCATCATCATCAGGCTACACCTGAAAAATGTAGACTACGCTTTGAAAATAATACTCATGAGTATGACTATGAGTGCCCTTATTAATACAGAAGAATTGCCTGAGATACCTCTCTGTGTGAGAGATCCAGGTTGTCACCTGCATTGTGAAGGGAAATGATCCTTGACTGCACAGGTATCATGTAATTAAGAAAGTAAACCCTTTAGCCCTGTTCTAGACACACTACCTTAGCTTTCAAAAATCTCCACTCCACACATAAATGGATGTTTCAGTGTGTACTTACCTTGGCTAGATACACAAGGGAGAGACTTGTTAGACATACAAAGAAGTGCAGGGTGTTTTTGTTTTTTCACTACATACCCTATGTTGCTCACAGAAAGCTGTACCAGTGCTACATGACATGCATACCCTGACATGCATCCGATGTCATCAATACAGGTGTGCTTCTCTCAGCCTGACACCTCAGTTTCATCAAGGGGGCCCACTGTTCTACCTTTCCAGTATGAATTTAGCTGGTTGTCACTTGGCTTCAGTGATGTTTCAATGACACCCTAATCATCAGTCTTGGCTGATTTCTTGCTTTCCTCATACAGTACTTAATGGCCAGAGGCTGAATCAGGGCAAGGAGATGGCCAGACAAGCCAGACTACCCAGAAGCGGAGGCACAGCTGCCGCTCCATCCAGGTATGCCAGAAAACACTCCCCAGAAGAGCCCTTACATATAAGAGTGCCGCACAGCATTGATGATGTTGGCTATTTTCTCCACATCCACGTAGTCATAATGTAAGGCCTCTGGGGTTGTCTGGGAACCAGTTTCAACCAGCAGCAGCCCAAGCCATCTTCCCAGATCTTCATAGCTGTTAGCCTGCGGGAACAGAGAATAATGAAATGTGAAAAGAAATGCACATTTCCCTGGGCAACAGGAAAGGCCAACCCCTTCTTACAATAACCACCAGCAAGGACATGTCTGTACAACACCCATTGTCCTTCAGCTCCCCCTTCCCTGTTTTTCAGATTTATAGCTATCATCTATTCACCACACAAGGCATTGTCTGTACAAGACAGCCAGGCAAGTAGGGTCCCTCTAAAGAAGTCGGGGTTGCCTTAGATCAGTCTCCAGATATTTTGAACTCCAACTCCCATCCACCCCCAGCAGCATGGGAGGGATAATGGGAGCTATAGTCCAAATTACCTGGTGATTACCACGTTGCCTGGATCCAGATTCTGAACAGATACTATGCTAAGGTGTCCCTGCCAGGGCAAGGCAAGTGCAGGCCCTTAACAGGCTGTTCAGGGTTGTTCCAAATGGTTCTGGAAACAGGTTTTCACTGGGGCTGATGGTGCAGGGGCAGAGCCTGGGCACGGAATAAGGAAGCAGCCGTGCTTTTCCTTTACCACATGCACCTTCCCACTTTCCCCTCAGTACAGGTTTTACCATGTCACCACATGTGCAGTGGTGCGGCAAAACATCAGCCCATACTAAAGGAAAAACAAAACCAAAATCGCGGGGGCAAGTGGTCAAGGAATGCAGCTACTTTACCATATGCCCCAAGCTCAGGCTCCGATTTGGAGACCATGTTCTTCCTGAGTCACCTGGTTTACCCAAACCGGAAGTTTTGTTGTATGTGTTTTTGCATGAGCCAAGTTGTGAGGTCAGACATATCTACATTTTAATCATGAATGATGATGCCCATGGTATGAAGTGTGCTCATTCTGCACAAAAGATGAATCAGGAGTTATTTTCCGCCGGTATGTGCAAATGCTGCTTGTTACCAATGAGGCATTGTCAGTGTTTAGGAGATCACCTGGTGCTCAAATGCAAATGCTTCCAGCCCACCCTGGCTACCTCTTTCAACTTGCTTGCTTTAATGAATGCCACAGACATCACTCCCTGGGTCTACACTGCACACCTTTGTACTGCACAGGAAGGACCGTTGAGTTTTACAAGGTGCTGCTATTAAACTCTGAAGCGGTGCTGTGCTATAACCATCACCCCTTTTGCAACTGCTTTGCCTCCCTGGAAAATCTTGAGAAACCTTGAGCAGGATCTTGAGAAATTTCTCAGCGAGCAGGGCTTCCACGCTTGCCTTACTGTGAGGAGCGGCTGAAGGGCTGCGTATGCCTTCCAAGACCAATTTCACCTTGATCTGACTTTGCAGCTGTCCTGGAGAGCCCCGAGAGCTCTTAACCAGGACTTTCCACCTTGAAGCTTTCTGGTGTTGTTGCCTGCTAAGGAAGGGCATTTTTGGTTTGGTTTTGTTCTTGTTAAAAGCCCTTCTAAACAGCAACAACTCTTGCCTCAGCATTCTGGCCCTCAACAACTCAAAAGCCCCAAGGGGGGAAGTCCTAGTTAAGTGCTCTAGGGCACATTTCAGAAAGGCCAGGGGCAGGAGAGGCTGTAGGGCCTGAATGGATTAAAATGGCAATAAAAAATGCACAGGAACACCTTGGCTGCCTGAAGACACTTCAGAGATTCCTCCAAATTTCTCCTCACTTCCCACAATTTTCAAGTGCAGTTTTTAAAAATCTTTGCTGTGCAACAAATTGAAAATACATCAAACAACAAATCTGGCTCAGGGCTACTCTTAGGTTTTGCAAGGTGCCTAGATGGCCGGCTCTCTGCCACACAGCTTGTCAAAGGCTGCAGCCCACTCCCATATGAGTGCATTCACATGAAATCAGCAAGACTTACTTCTGCATAGCCATGCCCTGAAATGCACTCTTATTAACCAGTGGAAATGAAAGTTCACTTACCTCCAAGGCAGAAACCTCTTGCCCATTGCGAAGAATGCGGAAAGCAAAGGGGTGTTTGGGGCCGAGTCCTGGTGCCACCTCACAGCCCCTTAGGACAAGGGCATTCACATGTGTCCTTAAGTCGGTGCGGTCCTTGTGGAAATAAAGTGTGTTGCCTTTTAAACGACACCAACGTTCCTTCCAGCACTGGTTCACCAGAACATTCAAGTAGCCTGCCAAAAGCCAGAAACAAGAAGACAAAAACTGAGCAGCAGTGCGATGACAAAAGGCTTCAGAATAAATAACGAAGGCACCAAAATCCTAAAAGTTGTTTCCTAGGAAACCAGAAATCACTGAGATTCTATACAACAGTCAGAAGGTGAGTTCTTTGCTTTAGATCAGAACCGTTGGCCTTCCATCTGTTGCAACTCCCATCCTCCCCTGCCCTCCATTGGTGAGCTGTTTGCCTGAATGAGTATCAGTCCATCAGGACTCCTTTGAAGACAGGGTTCGGAGTGGCACAACTAAAGGGCTTTGGGCAGCTGTTCTATACTCCTTCCATCTTAAGGGACTGCGTTTAGTAAGTAGAATGATGGAAGAAGCGGTGGAATGACAAAGAGGAGATACAAAGAGAAGATGATTATGTTTGAACCCCCTGAACTGCCCAGATTTCAATGAATGATTTAGGGCAATTGCACAATAAGAACCTCCCCAGGAAGCACCCATACTCTGTGCATCCCTCACTGATGTATAAGAAAGACTATCAACAGTATCATTCCATCTTTGCCCAAAGGCAGCAGCGTCACACCAGAATGAAAGAAAGAGAGAGAGAGAGAAACCCCACTCTTATCATTCATGCTATTTAGAATAAATATGTCTGCAGGGGGAGTGTATTGTATAATGCCTGTAAGGAACCTCTTTGCCTTATGATAGGAGTGGGCAATATGCAAGTGAGGATACATCACACCTCCATCCTCCTGTCACCCCGAAGTTCATTTTAAAAGGTGGGGGGAACATGGAACATGTAGTTGGCACAGGATGCCCAAAGGCCCAAATTTCGGTTGAGTTCTAAGTGTTCCATAGCCACTATGCATGCCATTTTGATATATAGTATTTTAAAATCTTTTGAAAATGTCAGTAACTGCATGAAGGCGGAGGTGCAGTCCATGGTGGTGGTGGGGCCTAGGAAGCAAAACTAGCTCCTGGGCCTCCTGAAGTTGGCCACCCCATCTTACACTGAAAGGAGTGCCCACGCTGAGGATACTGTGCTCAAAGGAGCTCTGAAGTGTCAAAAACAGGTGTGTCCTTGCACTCGATAGTCTCTTTGTTATCAGCTTGGACTGCGAGGGGAGGGTAGCACAGGCAATTTCAGCTTGTGAGATCAGTGAAGGTGACCAAGGCTCCTGCCCCTTTAATGCAGGGAGCGTTTTGGCAGGTGCCCCCCTTTGCATTTGGCCACCCTGATCTCAGTAGCCCCCACGGTCTCAAGTCTCAGTACAAACCACAGCATGGGATGTCTTCCTCTGTAGAGGATGTCTGGGTATCCTCTGGGGACGGCTTCTTCTTGGAGAAGCTGATGATCCTGGTGATTTTCCTCCCAGCTGCTCGACTTACAGAGCCCTTTAATTCAGCCAAACCACTTTTTTTGCCTTTCCCTAGGAGGAAACGGAGCAGAGCTGGAAATCAGAATATGGTTAATCTGGCCTGGCAAAAGCCCCTGCCAGCAGGGATGCAGCCTGTGCGGCTCTCCCAATGCTACTGGAGTGCAACTCCCATCATCCCTCACTGCTGCCTGTGGTGGCTCAGGTTCCTGGGAGCTGCAGTCCAGTAATAGGTGGAGGGCCTTCTTGTTCACCCTGCAGTACAGTAAGCGGAGGTTCTTCTCCCAGCCGCCTCAACAGACCTCCAGGATACACGAGCACAGAGGCTGCAGTGCCAGGAAGAGATTAAGTGACGAGGAGGGGAGGACGTATTTGTTGGCTGCAGCACAGCCTGGTCTGACAGGCCTGGCAGCTTCACTTAGTACCCCTTAAATGCGGCCGAAGCCATGGCGGAAGTACAAAAACAGGCCCCAAAACAGGATGCCTTTATCTTTGGAGAACAACCTTCCCTTACCTAATGCGTGCATCATGATACAGTTGCCCTAAAAAATCACTCACTCCAGTCTGAGCGTACTACCTGCCAATGGTGAGGGCCTTTCTTGTTCTTACATTTATATTTTGCCGCCATATAGCATTCCAGGGTGACCTATCTGGCCTCCCTGCCCCCCTTCTACCCTCACAGCAGATGTGAAGTAGCTTGGAATCAGGGATGGTGAGCAACCCTGTTGTGCTTCCTGGCTTAGCAGGGATTTGAGCCCAGATCCCTTGCCTGGCCTGAGCGGCTTTGGCTTGCCACCTCCGGTAAGCACAGCTGCAGGTCTTGTTGCACGTCTTGCTCAAACACAACCAGGAAGGAGTGCAGAGGGCTCACCTTGCTCATGGGCCTCCCTGCGAGCCAAGGAGGAGCAGTTTTCTGCCGTTGCCACACTGTCAGAGTCCGAGGTATGCTTGTCCTGAGATGACCTCTGGGCAAGGGAAAAGAGCAGCAGACCAGTTGCTTGCTGGGCCGCTTCCCACTATCTTCTCCCCATGCTCATTTGCTTATACCCTTTAGGAAGCAGTTCTGCAACAAAGCCCATAAGCCCCCAGACACAGAAGCTTATGGTCATCTGATGCACAGTGGGTGGCATGCCAGAGGCAACTGCTACCTCCCCATCTCCCGCCTTGCATTTTCTTTGGACGGGTGCCTTGCCAGTCTAGCTAGGACATTTGAAGGGGGGAGGAAGGAGGCTGGAGCACTTCAGGACGCCCTGAATCCTGGCTGTTTCAGTCCCTGCCCCCCACCCAATCTTCTCCCTCTTTGAGCTGTTTTCCCAGCCTAGGAGGGAAGTTGGCATGGCTCCTTCTGCGTCACAGCAAGGGTGAGGGGGTTCAGATCTCTGATTCCCCCTGCTGAGGCTGAAGTGCTGCCTCTGGCCTCAGATGGGAGAACTGGAACTATCCTATGGCCTCTTATATGCTGCTTAGAGGCCATAGGACAGCTCCCCCAACTGCCTTCATTGAGCCAAGAGCTTCACCAAAGGAAGTGAGCCCTGGTAATATCCAAAATAGCAGCCAAAATCTCTTTGTTTTTAACATGGATAGTGGGTCAGCTGCTGGGTTGCAGTATCTGCAGTGCTGCAGTTTATTAGCCAATGCTCACATCTCCTGTAGCGTTTTGTCTCAAACCCTCCCAAGGAAGATTACTCCCCTCAAAACAAAGCAGGTTAGAGGATGGTGTCTTTTCTAGCAGATTTTTCCTTCTCTGAATGAGTTTCATACATAGTATCATAACGTGGTTCTATCACTGGTGTTACAACCCATTGGCCAAATTCCTGGGGTTTCCCAGTAAAGTAAAGTAAAATTTTACTTTGCAAGAATGCAAAAACAGTTTGTTATGTAACTATTATGTTGCATAAGCAGGGGTAGGAGAAGAGCCTCAGCTGCACTAGGATTGACAAACCTGGATGCTACAACAAGCTCATGTGAAGCCCCAGAGTCTCCAGAAATGCTTGACAATAGCAGCAGAAAGTCATAGTGCTCTGGGCAAGTGACTCTGATGACAGCTGCCCAACTGGCATTTTAAGCAGCTATCTTTGGCTTCCCACTTCTCCAGGTCCTGTTTGGGGTTGATGAGGCTGCACACTTGTTGAAGAAGCAGAGCATGGCTAATCTCCATGCTGCTGATCCTGTCCAAGAGGGGTTGCCAGGCACCCCCTCCACTGGGATCAGCAGCAGGGAGCTGCTTGGATGCTTTTGGGCAGCTATCTTCCCCACAGGATATTGAGCAGAGGACCAAGGGGGAAGAGAAAGGAGGAGGCACCTCAGGACCCCCACTGTGTCCAATTGTTAGGCGCAGTGCAGGGGGCAGGCTAGCTAAGGGTCACAAGATCCTGCCCAGTGAAAAACAAAGAAGCTACCTTGTCTTGGTCCATCTTGCATGTAAGCATTGGAGATGTAGGAACTTCAGTTCCACTCAGTCCGCCTCCATTGGGACTGCTTGCTTCCTTTATCACCTGTAGGGGGACAGCCCTGTGTATGAAAGCACTGAAAACATTGATAAATCCCTTAGCTATAACAAAAGAGCATATGGCATGTCAGAATATTCTGCAATGGCGTTCACGCAGATGTCTCATCCTGTCTCAGTTACCTTACAGAAGGGACAAAACAACAGATTCATTATACTCTTCCCCTGTAAAGGACTTTTCTTTCCTTAAAGTTATGGATGGTCAATTAGCAGCTGGCTCCAGGAGTTATATTATATGGATCTTGGGGAATTCTATCAAATTTTAATCATAGTTTGCCCATAGTTTCTCTTGTAAGAAAAAGAAAAAAAGATGTGCTCAGCCTTAAGAATCAATTCATGCCATAATTTTACACTTCTCTTCAGGGTTCTGTATTTCAGAGTAGATGTACTCCATAAATGGGGAACCCTTCTCTGCATTAAGCTGATACTTAATTATATGGAGCCTGGCCACACCTGACAAGGTCAATTTGCATAGCAGACTTCCCCTTTGTAGATAGTGTTGAAAAATAAGCATCTGGAAATACAGATGTTAGCTATCTCTGAACTAAACAAGGCCAGTTTTAGCTTTTGGCCCTCATTTAACTCAATCAGTAGTTGAAAGAGAGAGACAGAGACAGAGATCACAAAGGCTCATTAACATCTGGTCAATCCAGAGCCTCTTTCTATAGTTTCTCCATCATTTCACCGAAAGTTGTTGCCACATTTTTAAAGGGAGATTCCAGTTAGGACTGGAGGTATGAGACGGCTGCAGCTGCTTCTCCTTTCGTTCCTCAGCACACCCATTTCCCGCCCTAGCTTATCATCAGGTATCATAACAGGCTTAGCCTACTCAGGTATTTTATTTCAAAGGAGACAGTTTCTCAGGAGCAAGCTGGGTTCAGCCAAAATACTGTCCGCTGGATCAGTGCCAGCTGAACATTCAACATTTTGAGGAAGGGAGGACATAAAGAGCTGCATGGCAGGCCCGGAGGGTGGGAGGGCTCGGAGGCAGTACTGTATGCACCAAGGGCAAGAATTCACTGTTCTAAAAACAACCAAGAAAACAGGGAGGAACAGAGGTTTTTAACAGCCGATGTTCCTGACAGTAGTCAAGCCAAGGAACACTTGCTCTGCCAAGACAGAAAATAAACTGAACTACAAAGTACATGAAAACTCTTCAATCCCTGTACTCCAAATTCTAATAAACACAACTTAGTTTATACATTTATTGTACTTCTTCCAGCTCAATCTCCCAAGCAGCATGAATCCCAGCAAGAGATATGACTGTCAGAGCCTGGAAATGTTGGTGCAAAAGACACACCTGGCAAGCAAACAAACAAAAGCACCACCTTGAGCCACAAAGCTGAGCTGGAGGGATCCACTGGCCATCTTCCAGAGAGTTAACACCACCCACTATCCATGGTAGAACACAAAAGCACAGAACTACCACCATGTTGTTCCAGTTTACCTTCAGCACTAGAAAAGCAATCACTGCCATAAAACAAGGCGGCGACTGCTGGCTTACACGGACAAAGAAGGAAAGCTGCCTTGTAAAAGGAAGGCTCTAGCCACAGTAGCTGAATACCCAAAAGGCCACTAACAGAGGAGAGCGGTGTCCTTCATTCCTTAATACAGACATTCTAGAGGTATCTTGCTGGAATTTTGTTAGTCAGAACTCCTAGAATAGGGACAACCTTGCTTAGATCCAGCAGGGCTATTCTTGTCTTCTTAAGAAGAGGGCATTTTCCTCTTCCAAAAACAGAACTTCCTTTTACTTCGGAGAGAGTTTTCAGGCCAGACGTTAGCGTCAGGACCACGTTCTAACATTCCTTCCTACTTGTTCCTGCTAAACAAGAATTACCCACGGGGGATGCCCCACAAAACAGAGTTAACCCACAGAGTATTTCCCTTCCTCTAGGTCCCCATTGGCATGTTTCAGACAGCCTCTTTATTTCAGCAATAATGCATCCCCAATAATCCTGCCCTGGAGGCCAGTTACAATCTTGAACAAACATGGCCATATACATGGACGAGTGCTTGGATTCTCTGGAAAAGGAAATCATACTTGTGGGACAGAAAATAACTTTCTTTGGGCTTCTCTACAGAAGGTGTTTAATCTGCACTCTACAAAGTTTCCGGATTAATATGGGTTCCTTTACACATGTGTTTTTGCCAGTTTTTCTTTCTCTGCCTTTCTATATGTTCCTTTACACAACCATAAGGTGATGCTTTAGTATAGCATAATTACAAAATATACACGCTTCTCTTTCTGGTTCATTTTTGCCATTTCCAATTAAAACTACACTTTTCTTGATCTAAAAAAGCTACAAAAGTGCTTGGAAAGTCCTGGGGGGAGGAGGTTACATAAAGCACCCACCAACTGCCATGAGAGGACTCCTGAGCTCATAAATAAAGCCCTTTCCTTAACAATTCTTAAAAATGTAAGGGCCCAAACCAGAGATGGCCATCTGCCCTGTTAACATTTTAAATGGGAAGGGGCTATGTGCTACTTTAACCATAAGAAGAATGTCCAGAAAATGGATACAGAACTCTCCCTTTTCCCAGGCCTAAAGCCTCTTTAGCCCATTGTTCCAGCCACTTTCCTCAGTTCTTGGCTCACTTCTGCTATTGCACTTGGGAACAGGGAAAAGTGCTGTGGCCACAGATGGAGAAGAATAAGAGAGAGGCGCCGTGTTCCTTTCCTTTGAACTCCATTTATCCTGAGATGCCTCACTCCTTGTCTTATATGCGATTGGGTGGGTGTGTGAACGATGGCCGTCACTCCTGTTTCAGCTTTCACAATTAGAGTGTCACACTTGGACCAGGAGGAACCACATTCAGATCCCAACTATGAAGCTCACCGGGTGACTAACATCCTTTGTCAACTGTGTCATCATCCATGGGAGCCCAGTCAGTCTCTCTCAGCCTACCCTGCTTCACAGAGTTGTTCTCAGGATAAAGTCGGGGTAGGAGGGAAAAGGCCACCTAGAAACTCCTCGGAAGAAAGGCGGGCCTCAATTGTTTGAAAAATGAGTAATATATAAAGGGATTGCATTTATTATTTTTTAACCTCACCTTTCCTCCAAGAAGCCAGGCATCACATTTAGGAAAGAAATCCCCACCCCCATCCCTAGGTAGGCCTAAGGAGTCCAAAGGGGGCAGGCGGGGCACAGAGAGGAGGGGAGACAATGCCATCAAGTAACGCTTAACATTCCACCTTTCCCAGGCTGGCTGGGTTGGTGACTTAATCATCTCTCAGCCTCCTACACAATCTGCCCTGCTTCAGAACAAAAGCAGGAAAGAGTGGGGGTGGGTAAACAAACAGCTCCTCCCAAGCTGCCATGCAATTCCAGACAAGGACTGTGGGGCAGGGGGGAAAGGATCTGCCCTCCTGGCTGGTGCTTTCTCTGCACAGCTGGCGCTGCAGGCCCGGGCGGCCTTGATAAGAAGGCTGGTAGGAAAGCCCCCTCCCCTGTAGAGATAACAGGGCTTTTCCCACAGGACTGGCTACTCTTGTTCATCTCGAAGTGCAAGAGAGCCATGCTGCATGCAGGGTATTGTTTCGCTTTGCTTCTTAAAGTAGGGGAAATGGGTCATGGGAAAAGAAGGGACTGGGAGGGTGTGCCATGCTATGCTTCCCTGAGGTTGCCAGGTTGGGTACCTTCAGCCACTCGTCCGCTTGCTCTTTGCTCTGCACTGCCAGCACAAGGGCTTCGGCTCCGGGCAGAGAGAAGCGTAGCTCGTGCTTCTTGCGGCGGCCATCCTTTGGCACATAGACCACGTTGCAGACGCTCAGGGGCACCTCAAGGTGGGGCTGTCTGTGCTTGGAGCTTTTGTAGCACTAGCATTGGGAAGAAAGAATAATTCCGCATACAATCAAGTAGGGCCTTTCACAGCTTTCTGAGCCTGGTAAAAGTAAGCAGGAAGGGGGGGGAGTGTTCGTGGGGGAGGTTAGTATAAAAGAAATGTTCAGGAATTCCCATTCCTTAAGAGGTAAACCCTCCCATATTTTGGCCTACAACTCCCATGATCTCTCACCATTGGACAGGGCTCAAGGGTGTTGTAAGGCCAAAACATCTGGAGGGCCACAAATTGCTCACTCCTGACAATCATTCAGATACAGCAATCAGGCTGAGACTTTTTACAAGCAGAACCAAAAAGATACAGAAATACCCAGATCTTAGTAGTCTCAAAGCTTTTACATTTAGCTTGAGGACAAACCAGATAGTACATGCAGATGTGTGCGAGGAGATGGGACTTCCAGAGGGATGGGGATCCGAAAAGCAGTGAGTGGGGTGGTTGGCCTTTGCACCACTCTAGATCATCATCAAAACAGATCCCCCTCCCCAACAAGGAGAATTCCCAGTGTATGTTTCCATTTGGAACTGCATGAAGCAATGGAATTGCAGCACAAAAATGTCAGTTTGGAAAGGATTTAGCCAACTCCACACATGGCATATAAAATGTCATGTAATAACAAAGTACACATAGGGTTGTTTATAGCCCAGCTATACACAAAGCGGAAGGAGGTGTCAAAAATGCTACTTTTGACCTATCATGCTGAAGGTCTGCAACACATAGCTAGTGCACCACTTCTCTGATCTGGCCTGCGAGATGCAGCTTCTGAACCTGTGTCACCCAATGGCTCCTTTCTTTTTTCCCTTCTTAGGTAGTCAATCTACCAGCCAATGCCAGTCCCTGGAAGAGTAGGCCTTCCCTAATCATGCTCAGGGATGCAAAAGAAACTGGTCCTGAACCACCTTGGGTTCATTAATGGGGACCTTCCCCTTCCTCTCCAAAACATTCCTGGCTCTTCTACACATGCACAGCCTGGCTTTCCACAAGCCACTCACTTACCAGCAGTTTGTTGTCCTTGATGACTGTCAGCTGCTTGGCCCATTGCCCAAAGCGCTTCTTGCGCAACAGGAAAGCACAAATCCTGCAGTCCTTTACTAGGTTCATAGAAGCTTCCTCTGACGGCCACTGATGTGTTAACCTCTGGCCTTTCCCATCCTCCTCCTCCTCATCGTAAGATTCATAGGAGCTGCTCATTGCATCGGAGTCATTGTCTACAAGAAAGCAGGGTCACCCAGGATGCTGCTGTCACCATCACAGGAATGGAAAACACTGCCTAGTGCCTTCACCCATCTAGCACAGTACCGGTTTTTCTGTGGTGGTGGTCCAAAGTACCTGGAGGGTGCCGGGCTGGGAAGGCTGATGCATCTGCAGGCATGCATTCTACTTCAGCTGGAGCCAGACTGCCATAAACTAAACAGGCACATGCTTGCTAACATGTTTCAGTAAACTGTAGCCTGGTTTTTGTATATGCACTGCTTTAAATTTACAAAAGCTCAAACCTTTTGCTGTGCTTTTCCCGATTAAGTTCTTCTAGTCAAAAGAAAACTACTACTGTGGTTCAGTGGAGAGTTCAGTTTAATTATATAATTCAACTTCAGCATAGCTACAGCTTTTCTCTAAATGCCTTGCCTCCAACTAATGCAATTCTTATAGGGATGCAAGAAAGACTTAAGCTACTGTGCAACCTCTAGGAAGGTGGCACAGATTTCTGTATGGTAAAATGCTGCTTTTTAAATCATTGGGTATAGTTTGGTCACCATTTTAAGAGCAGGCAGTGCAAAGGTGGAACTCACATATGGCTCCCGACCCTCTCTTCTCCTAGCCTTAATGTTTAAGGAATAAGTTTCTATACCACCACAGCTTTTGAATGGGAATTTTGAAAATTGAATGTGCAAAAACACGCACATTGGTTGCACCCCCATCTATGCAGCCCACAGTACTGAACAATTTTCTTAATCTTACCATAGGCCAGCTTTTCCCATCCTGGTGCTGGCTGGGAATGATGGGAGCTGTACAATAGACTGAGAAAAGCTGGCACAGGCTAACAGAGAACTGTCAACATTGGCTGAAGAAACCTTCCCCCACCTGGTAATTGTCAGATGGTTTGGACTATAAAATATCATCAGCTGGGGCTGATGGGAGTTGAAATCCAAGACATCTGGCAGGAACCAGGCGCAGGAAGTTGTGTTATACCATGAGAACAAGAAGATTCTGCCCTCTTCATTTATTATTCCCTGCTAAGCACAGAGGCCCAGTTCAACAGAGATGTGGTGGTTAAGACTTGTGATATCCTTTTGCTTCCTGCATTCTTCCCAGTTCCCTGGGCCAACTGCTCTGCTCAGTACTCTTGAGGATTTTACAAGGTTTTATCCCCCCACCACTGCCACCTTGGCTCTGAAGTTGCAGAGCACAGACCTTTGCATGGCTACTTACAGGAGTTTTTTTGTTCTCCGTTCATTCTGGTGACAGGATAGTTGCTGTCAGCATCCTCGTAATAGCCATCCTCTATTGAGTTGGGGGGACTGGAGCTATCTGCACAGAAAGCAGGTGGGACATTTCAGCCCGTAACATGCATCAAGGAACGCAGCGTGTGGCTGACACTGGGGGAGGTGGTGGGGCAGAAATGGGCTCTGTTATCTGGTGAACTCTAATAGATGACGCAGGAAAGCTTTTACTCAAGTCAGACAAGAGACAAGGAGAAGAGGCATCAACCGGACTTGAACAGCCAAGTCCTCTCCCTGACTCTCCCCTGCCAGTTCCCCTGTGGTCACCCAACACCACAGCCCACCGAAGAAGGGGCATCTTTGGCATCCTTCACACCTTTGACCTAGGAAAAGTTTTTTTGACACCTTTCCTGATACCTCCTCCAGGTCACAGACACTGCTAGGAAGGGTTACCACACCTCCAGACACAGGCCTTACAAGCCAAACATTTGAGCCTCTGCATTCTGGTTGTCCTTTATATCCCACCAGAGCTCAAACTATAAGCCATACTGACACCCATGCAAAACCCCACTTTCCTCTATTCCTCTGCACAGCCTCCAGCCCTTGTCTTTCGGGGGACTTTTCAAGGGAGGACTTTCCCTGAAGCCTTGGATGCATAGCAGGCCTCTTTTGATCCAGATGTTGCTCATGGTGCTGGTGCCAAGGGACACCCAGCTCCCAGAGTTGCATTCCCTTTTTGCCTTCAAGTCCCAGGAAGCTGTTGCAGAGGGCCACAAGCCTCAGTGTTTATTCAAATTCAGAGGAACCAGAGCAGGTGTTAAGGATCTTTTCCCCACCTTCCCCTAATCCCCCAGACAAGCTGAGAGGCAGAGACAGAGATAGAGGGGGTGGAGAGCGAGAGACGGAAAGGGAGAAAGACAGATTGTTCTTAGCCAGGCCCTCCAACATTCCTGCCACGCAGGGTTTACTGGTATATTTTCAGGCAAGCCCAAGCAAACAACTGCTTGTGACATCTGTGAGTGAGACAGATGGGTGAGGAAGCAGGAAAAGGAGTGTGACAGCCCCTCCCCCTGCCATTTCCCTCCCTGCAGCTTATAAATTATAAAGTCTGTCACTTGTCAGACACCTGGGAGGAGCCTTTATTTTCTTAGGCTGATATGGGAGCACCAGAATGCATAGCGGTGGCAAAAACCCAGACGGCTGCTTCTCTCCCTCCCCAGCCCCAGTGAGGCTTACTGTGGGATGTAATGTACTCGGGGGCTTTGCCTGGGCCCAGTGGCAGGGCTTCTTCGTAGTAATCTTCAGGAGGCGGAGTGGTGGGCAATGGCGGAGGTGGCTCCCCAGAAACCTGTGAGGACACAAAAACTAGGAAGTTGGCATGGACAACCAAGATCATGCTCAGTTGTGGCCATTCGCCTTTATACATGACTGGATATGCTCATGCAGGGAAACTCCTCTAAGTCTTCTGGTCATGCCATTCGCCCTCTGCTCCTGTGTCTGACTGAGGACCAACTGAGGACCGATGTGGGCTGGAGAACTTGCATGTTTTATACACAGCAGTATCCCGGAGTCAATAAAGGGCAAGTAAAGAGGTACACAGTCTTGACTGCAAATCTGGAAGAGCCTTGGAGCATCAACTGGGAGCACAGAGATCTAATTACATGCACCTCTGAAGAGTGCTGTTCACTTTAAGTGGTTCGCCCCTCAGGAACCAATCCCATCAGGATGACATGGGCAACTTGTGGGCTTCTCTGCAGAGGACTGCTTCACACATATTGCTAAGCCACCATGGTTAATTAACCTAAGGACCTTCGTGCCACAGACAAGCCACCATTGGAATATGCAAGCTGTGGTGGATGGACCCTGTGGTTTGTCATCCATACCTGAGTGAATTGGCTTATGCAAGGGTTAAAAGATCCTTGGTTAAGTCTATTACAGCCCATAGGCTAATTAATCCAGCGTGGCCTAGTATTACATGTGAACCAGGTCAATTATTTCCTTTCTCTGTAGATATGGCAAGTAGCCATCAATCTTTCCTTTAGGCTAGAGACAGCCAACCCTTGGTGGGAAGGTGGGGGCAGGGATTGGTAGGGGTTCAAAATTTTCCCTCATTATGGCTTCTGACCAAACAGCTCTTGTAAATTCAAGGCTATGGCCTCCTTTATGGAACTGATCCATTTCATAGTTGATCTTCCTCTTCTTCTGCCTTTGGTTTTCCTTAGCATTATTGTCTTCTTTAGTGACTCTTGTCTTCTCATGATGTCTCCAAAGTACAACAGCTCTAGTTTCGTCATTTGTGCTGCCAGGAAAAGTTCTGGGTTGATTTGATTTAGGACCCACTTGTCCATCTTTCTGTTGGTCCAGGGTATTTACAAAGCTCTTCTCAAGTACCATATTCTTCTTTCACTTTCATCAGGAGTCATTTCAGTACTGCTTTCTGCCAGGAATATGGTATCATCGTCATATCTTAAAATTATTGATGTGTCTTTTGCCAATTTTCGTTACTTCTTCCTCTGATCCTAAGCTTTCAGCTTTCCTTATGATATGTCCTGGGTACAGACTGAACAGATAAGGAGATAAAATCCTGGTCTGATGTCTTTGCCCATAAGAAACCCTTCTGTCTCCATATTCTGTCCTAACTGTAGATCCTTGTCCATGATACATGTTATAAACCAATACTACAAAGTGCTGAGGCAAACCCATATCTTTTAGAACTCTGCATACCTTCTTGATCCATACAGCAAAAGGCTTTGGTGTAGTCCGTAAAGTGTAGACTGATTTTCTTCTGAAATTCTTTGTTGTGTTTCAGTAGCCAATGTTTATTTCCAATATGATCACTAATACCTCTTCTTTTTCAGAATCCAGGACACTTCTCACTCCATATAGGGTAAAATTCTTTGTTGGGACACCTTAAGCATCGCTTTTCTTGCATAAGAAATAGTGCAATGGTTCTAGGGTTGCTACATTCTCTTGCATCTCCTTCCTTGGAGACTGGAATTTATATTGATTGATTTCAGTCTGTGGGCCATTGTTTTATTTTACATATTGTGCTTACCTACCATAAACAATAGCATCTTTTGTAGACTACCTTCAGCTCTGTGAAAAAAAGTCGTCTTTCTTCAGTCTCAGCCTGCATTCATCTGTGTCTCAGAGAGAAGTCTGAAGGAGAGCTACCAGAAGGAGAACCTCTTGGGTTCTGGCCTCACAATTAAGGAATGCATTCCCTAGCAAGGCCCATCTGATGTCAATATTGTTAACATTAAGCCCTACCTCTATTCTGATGCCATGGGATGGGTTGTTAAATGCATCTGTTGAATTGTTTATGGTTCTCACCAATGTTTTAGTTGACTTTTTGGGAGTGGTTGTATTTAGTGGAAAATTGTTTTAGCTTTCTAAATTTTGAATGTTTTACAGTCAGCCTTCCACCTTCACAGGTGTTATGATTGCAGGAGCCCCACAAAAGTGGAAAAACCGTGAATATCTCTACCTGCTCCCAATCTTAACTCTTAATGCTTAGTACATGTCCTGGATTGATTCTCTCACTCCCTCTTAGATCTTGGTCTGATCCAGCAAGTCTCCCCTTGATTACATTCTTGTGTTCTTATTTCCTGCCCTCCCTTTCACTCATCAACATCTCCTCTTTGCACTAAGGAAATGCCAGAGGGATTTCTGTCTGGATGGGTGAGGCAAAAAGTCATGATTTGGAGGTCCTCCCTCTCTATCCCTTTGCATCTTCTCTCTCTGTGGTGATAACTTTCTGCAGTAGGCTGCAAAACTCCAAAAAATCCTATTTAATTATTGGTGGCAAACCTGAGAATAATCAAATCCACAAAAGTTAAACCCACAAAAGCCAAAGTGTGACTGTAATTTTGTTCTAAGTCATTTTGAATCCTTTTTGTTTAGTTTTGGGAAAGGCATCTAATAAATCAAAATAATATAATACTAATTCCTGATAGGGCCTGGAACAAGGTCAAAAGTACACCTTGGATTTTTTTATATCAATGAGCAGTATCCAATGGGATCCTCACACCTTCACCAATTTCCTTCTGCTGATTCCCTTCCTGAAGTGGTGGGTCCCACTAATTCCATTGTGCAAGCAAGATCCATTGCTCCAGCTAGGAAGATTTTGTGCTTCCTAAAGAAAGCCCTGAAACTACCCAGAGAGCTTTGGCCATGGGCAGCAAAGGAATGAAACAAATAAATACAAATAAAACAAATGGGAACACCTGTTTTTGGAAGGTATCAGTCAGCAGACCTCCCTTCTGCATGTAATGCCAACCTCCTTCCTTCTAGAAAAAGGCTTGTAGGCTGGTTTTGAATTGTCCCCTGAAGCGCTACATCTCCCTCATGTGAGTGGTACATGCTGCTTGCAGAAAGGAATCTGCGGGGCACAGAAGACTCAGCAAGAGCATCCATGACCTGTTGGATGCTGCCTAATGAAATGCTTATGGAAAAGAAGATGGCACCCGTATACACATGTCCCTTCCTGGTCTGTTCTGATCGAACCATTATCCTGGAAACAACATAAGGCAGCTGAAAGAAATGTCTCTATGTTTCTTCTCCAAGTTACGTGCCCTGTAGTGTGCATAGTAGGTCATATTTTGCAGGCTTTACAGAAGGGTAGGCAACTTGTGGCCCTCTAGATGCTTTGGCCTACAGCTCCCACAATCTTTCACCATTGGTTATGCTGCTAGGGTTGATGGGAGTTGTAGGCCACTTATCTGGAAGGCCATATGTTGCCCACCCCAGGATCAAGTGCATGTGCTCCAGACCCCTTAACTTCCCACTATGCCTCTTCCTTTTCTCAGTAGACAGAAAAGGGTCTACTGTGCAGAAATACTGCAGAACCAAGGAGCTGACAACTCCGCCACAAGTACGTTACAGCATTCAGTGGCGGGGGAAGGGAAGGGTGAGGCACATGCTTTCTTGCAGAAAATCCTGGCTTCAGTTGCCAGCATTTCCAGGGAACACTGAGAACAACTCCAGTGTGAAACCCTCATAAGACTTGGCCAGTCAGCATAGACCAGTCAGTGTGGACCATGGCCCCTAGTGACTCCAGTGCGGCCCCCTCCAGTGCTACTGCGCTCTGCTCACTTATTTTATTTTTACTGGAAATGAAATGTTTTAAAATCATGGTTTGGCAGCAAGCACACAGAATGGGCAGATTTAGTTTGAAAACAGGCCAAATATGTCCATTCAAAGTCTCCATGGTGGACAAACTGTAGCCAGGCCTGAGCTAGAGGGACCAATGTCCTGATCTGGAATGAAACAGTTTTGTACGTTTGGTAATACGGAATCAAAATTGATAGAACTTACACTTTTAGCTGACTGACTCCTTGAAAGCTCCAGGCTGATGCCTTCTTTGGCATCCCCATCATCTTCTTGCATATCCTGAAGGTTGCCCAGGTCACAGTCTGGGAGGAAGGTGAGAAGCCAGGCACTGAACAACGCAGTCCTTGCATGCAGTTTCCCTGCTGCATCACAGCCCCCCTTGCCTATTCCTTGCTTCCTCCTCCCCTCCAACTGCCTGAAGGCATTGTAAATTCACTGTTAAGTCCTCTGCTTCTGAGCCATTGTGCAGGATGGGGAAATAAGGTTTGGGGGAACCTTCAATCTCTTCTCTCAGGGTGAATATGGAATATTCTGGAATATGGCTTTTACAACTGTGAAAATGACCCTGCATCCAGAGGCTCTTGGGCAATTGGAAAAAAGTAATAATCCGGGGTGCTGGCCATTACCACAAGTTCTGGACGCTAATGGAAGATATCCCAGTGTAGCTAGCCACTTCAAAGGAACAATTGTCTTTATTTATTTATTTATTTATTTATTTAAAGTTTTTATATGCCGTCCCCATTGCTACACAGCCTTGGGTGGCTTTAAGGGCAAAGCCAGGGAGGAAGAGATTAAATCTCCTGCCCAAGCTGCTGTCACTCTGATACTTATCAAGTGTCACATTCAGAAATAAAAACATGCATGTCAAATACAGGGCCTAGTTAACCCTAATCTCAACCTGGACAAGAGTGAAGGGAAGGATTTCAGGGTATGCAAGACAGGCTGTGTTTATGAAATTGCAGGCTTAGGCACTGAGAAATGTGAGAGTTACAGTAGGGCTGCCAAATCCCCATGGAAACTACCCTGATTTCAACTGCTTATACATAATAATAATAATTAAAAAATCAAGGGGGGCATCTTAATTTGCATAGTCAAAAATGCTATGCAAGCCAACAGGCTGCAAAATACTAGAGGTATGAGGAGTTCTTAATGTTTTGTTAAGGTTTTTTTAATAATAAAATAGGGATTTTATGGATTTTCTCTGTGAGGAATATTATGGAGAACAGACAGAGAGTAACGCCTTAAGTTTAGGGAATCATGCAACGAATAGGGCAATGGCGATTAACACTGATTCATTGTGCAGGACTCATTCTGGATGAATCCCAGCAGATGAGGGTCACACAAATGCAAGGGGAATCTGATCCAAGAAGCTGAAGCAGTTGACAGTACATACCAAAGCCTTCAAAGAGTGACTCCACAAAGCTAGTGCCATTATGTATGGTTGCGGTATTCATATACATGTAGTTCACATCCTTCCCTGCAAGGCAGAAAAGATATTACCAGCAACAGGGAGAAATGCATCAAACAGTGCATTAGACCGGAGGCTTCCAAACTTTCTGGCATCAGTGAACCCGTTCTCCATTGTGGCGTGGAACCCCACATGTTGCAGGGAATTCTAGAAAGTGTTCAAAAGCATTCTCAACTCAGGCAGGGTGCAGAAATACATCTTTTCCACCCTCATGATTTTCACATCTGTCAGTGCAACCACTTTGTCAGCAAATGGTGGATCTGAATCATCGGAAATAGAAGATGCAGTCATGGTTACATGTCAGATTCAACAGAGGTTGGGTGAGCTGGATATATCAATCACATCATATGCTTCCTGGAGGTCTGCCTCAAAGCTTGGCAGAAAAGCTGTAAAAGTTCACAGGTAATGAATGCTTTTTTTGTTGGCTTTCTCAACTCCCAGGAAGTAAGCAGCTTTTCCCAAATCAGTTGCTGTTCTTGGAACTTCAGAGATACACCCAACCTAAATGGGTTGTGGTTACATATTGATTTCACATAAAAAAGAGGAAGGGGAGAATATGCCTCATTCACCCATAAAGATCCAGCTAGGAAGAGGGTGAAGAACTGTTGTCCAAACAAGCAGCAAACAAGAGTGCAAAGTCACTATCAAATGACACAGTAATTTCAAATGATGCACAGCAATAGGGCAGTCTGCTGAGTATTTCAGAGATGAGAGAGAAGCTTCCCGATGACAGAGTATGATTTGCTCTTCTCATGGAAATCCTCCCTCTCAGCAGGAATCAGCCAAGCAGGAAGGCTACTGGGAACACACATTTCCACAGGAAAAGCAAAGCAATTCCTGTTCAGCTACATCATGGCCAAATATTCATACTGCCTGGAAGCTGTCGCAGGCATCTGTGTTAATATATATGCATATATACATGGGGTGCTTCCAGGGCTGCAGATCAGAAGGCATTAAGCAGCGTTCCATTCTTCCTCAGGAGAAAGAGAAAAGATGGAAGAAGCTGTGGGAAAACACAGGAAGGTTCTAAGAGGACGATCCTTCAGCTTTGGATCCCCCGTATCAAACCATGAACAAGACAGGAAGATGGAGTGACAAAAGCCTCAACTGGAAGCACTCTCTATGGCCCTAGCAGGTTAAATATGCTGCTCTTACAGAATCAAGCTATTTCCCTAGCAGTAAGTGCAGCAGCCATCTTAGAAAATATTGGGCTCTAACAACTTAGTGGAGAAGTTTCCATATTCAAAAGCCTGCAATTTCACCTGCCATGCACAGGGAGCAATCATAAATATTAAGAAAGTTCATGAGTATCCCAAAGGCTCAAATAAATCAAAGAGCAGTACACGCAGCTCTTGCCAGCTATTGTTTAATACTTGTTTATCTCTGCTCTTCAAGGTCAGCGTGAGGACTCCCTTTTTTGGCACGCTCCACCAGAGGGAGTTGTGTGTGTCTCACAATAAAGGGCCAAGTGAGTGTCCATCATCCTCAGAATGATGAGGGGACTGTGCCGGACCTGATATGGGAGACGCTACAGGACTGCAGTTGCGGACAGCATAAAATCAGAAAGGAGGCGGAGGAAGACGCATGGCTTCGCTAAGTGTGCGCACTGCAGTCTCCCTCTCCCTCCCTCCCCTGCTCCGGCGTGCAAAGGAGGCAGGATGATCTCTGCTCCACCTGTGCGATTGCAGGCTCTAACAACACAATGTAAGCTCACACTGGTAAGCCAGACTACCTGGGGAGAACAGGATTAGTGAACAGGATTTTGCACGGGGCACCGTTATACAAAAGCTGGGGAGGTGGCGGGGGCAAGGAGGCAATTTGGATCAAGACTGCAGATTAGAAGAGGCATAGCCTCCCAAGCAAGCGTGTCCACCGTGCCAAAGCTGCTATTTCCCCTGTGAGAGAAAACTCGCAGGCGCTCTTGTTCTTCATCCGCTGTATGTAGCTGCTGCCCAGTGGTTGTTAGAGAGTCTGCAGGACCATTTGAAGAAGACGCCCATTGCCTGTTCCAACATCTCCCTGAATGCAGGGATAGTGCTTTAGATCCCTCAGCCCTTCAGTTCCTGATGAGCAAATCATGCTTAAAGGGGCAAAGAAGAGGCTCTGCCAGTTACTCAGCCTGCACCACCACACCAGAGGCAACCAGCCCAGAAACGGCTGTGGCCCACCCTGGCTTAAAGAGAGCAGACTGCCGAGAGTGGAGCCTGTGCTGGCCCGCCAATAGCCAGAAATATGCCACAACAAAGTTTGTGGGGCCATAGAAGGCTCTGTTGTAGGCAGAAGGTGCCTAAGCCTTAGGAATAAGGCAAACAGGAAAGAGCAGAGAAAGAAAGGAAGAGAAAAGGGTATGTGTGATCATGGGCAGAGGGGAGGGTTTGCTGACCTGTGGGGGGCTGCAGCTTCTGCAAGATATTTGAGACCGCTGTTTTCTTCTCCATTGTGGTAGAGCTCAAATATTCATGGTCCAGCAACTTGAGCAGCACGTTAAGCTCAGGAAGGAGCTGATCTAGCACTGCAGGGAGAAAAGGAGAGCACAGTTACGAATCCAGCCATCCCCATCCATCCTGGGCCCAGGGTTTTCAGGGAGCTGGGACGAGGGACCCCCGGTGCGCCTTCCCACCACCCAGCTGCTACTGATCCTTGTCCTCTCATCATTGCTGTCATTTCTTTCTCACCGCCACTCCTGTCTCAGGCAGAGTGAGGGGCAAGCGACCGGGAAGATTGCATTGGTGATGAAGACGTGCGACTCGAAGGAGCCCTTGGCAGTGGAGCCCTAGTCAGGTGGGGGCCCTTGGCAGGTGCCTGGCCATGCCGGTCTGTGCTGCTGGGCCATCAGCTCTGCATGGCACACACAAGATGGGCAAGCACAGGAGGAATGGGTAGGTGGCAGGTTTTATGAACACTGGGGCAGAATTGCCTGGTCCTCACCTAGAACAGGTGTGTTTATATAATGGTCCAAGAGAGGCTGCAATCGCCAAAGTGCCTCCCATTCTGTTTCTCCAGCTCATTCTTTTGTCCTGCCCCTTCTTTCATCTGCTGCAGGGAACCATACTAGGATTTTGCAAAGAAAGCAGGCAGGGAGGAAACTGAGCAAAACCCAAGATTGCTGGCTGAATGAATGGAGGAGGAAGGGGCAGTCGCCTCTGCCTCAGTCACCGTATTCAAAAATACTGGTAGCATTTCTGAGCAAAGCCATAGTATATTTAAATACTTATCATTCAAGCATGCACTTACAAAAATCTCTTTTCTGGACATATTTTCATAAAATAACATTGAATATGAGTTTGACCTTTTTTAATTTGAGAGATGCATCACAACATTTTGAGAAGTGAGAAATCAGATGCATAACTGCGTTTCTACCTACATATCAGTCAAAGAAGTGCAGATCAAGTTGGGTCACTTTGAAATGCAGACCAAATGTAATCCTCAAACATCCCTGTGGCTTATTCCGCCAGCAAGAAAATGTGACCAGAGATGGCTTTAAAATGATAGACAACTTATGGATGCCAGCAAGTGGAGGTTTGAAAAAGTGAAACCAACCAGTTCCAAAGCCCCCAAGCAGTATAACTAATAATGCAACTCAACATTTGGACCTGTGCCAGGTGACCACATGATCATAGAGCTCTCCCATCCATCCATCCATCCATCCATCCTTCCATGTACGCTCATGCACGTGTGTGCGCGCGCGCACACACACACACACAGAGCTTGGGGAGAAAAGGGCAAAAGACAGACACATGCACCAAACAGACAGTGGGAATGCTGATGAAGACTTCTTTGTAGCGGAAACACTCTGCTTAACTGCATCTTCAGCGATGGCATCTGGTGATGCAGCAACGTCCCTTTATTCAGATGAATTAGGCAGTTGCCACCTCGGTGCATGTACAAAAATGCCTCTAGAAAAGCCACTCCCACACGCTGCAGGATAACTCATCTCTAAGTACAGATTCCTTGGAGATCAAAGCCTGATGGCACTGCTTTTGGGAGCCTCCTGCAAACTTTCTCCCATGAGGACTGTATCTACATGTTCCAGGCCAGGAGTGCCTATTTTCTCAGAATTTCTGAAGTGGAGAAGCAGGAAGGGATCTCCCCAGAAGAATGCTGTGGCACAGCCAGTTGCATGCGCGGGCACATCTTCCCATCCCACCCATTTCATTGCTTTGACAACTTGTATCCTTTAATTACTATGTTCCTCCTGAAGAACTTGCAGAGGTGTTTTCATGGCTCAACGTGGAGGGAAGTCTTTGAGCAACTGGCTAGGAAAGACGAGGTCACTTCATCTGCACCCTGCAAGGTTCATTTGTTCTTTTGCACAGCCCATGGGAGCAACATGCCAGCTGCAGGGCAATAGAGTTACTCAAAATTAAATGACACATTTTCCAAATGTTTTGCAGTGGTGGGTGAGGAAGGGAAGCAGCATCATGCAAGCAATAAAAGAAGTAAAGAGGCTGCAATTAATTTTTTGAACAGGCATCCCAGCTGGGCCTGTTTTAACTCAACATCCAGCTGTGCACAAGGGTATTACTTAAGAGGCCACTTCACCCTCAGTGCTACTTAAATCTCAGCTCTTTTGTCATGTTTTAGAAATACTTTTCCGCATTCAAGTCAGCCTCTTAGTTGATCCCTGCTTTTCCTTTTGTTTCAAGAGATTACTGATGAGTGAAGGTGAAAACATTAAGAAAGAGAAAATAATGACCATGCTGAAAGGTAACACAGATGGCAGTGGCTGGCTGGGTTCATACAACACAATGATCCTGTCCGAGTTGTTGAATCATGGGTTGTCCTGTTCGATGGACCCAGCTGTACTAACAATGGATAGTTTGTTAGCCATAAACACCCACAAAAGAACCTTTGTTTTGTTCTTAGGTATGGAACCATGTTTATTAATGGTTAACAAACCATTGTTTGTTGGTGCAGCCGGATTTACCCAACACAACAACGCACAATTTAGCAACAATCCATGGTTCAACAAGCCACACACAACCCACACTAAGTTCATAGCCTGCTTTTTTATGTTGTATGAATTAGGACACTATCTTTAAAATGTACTTTAAAAAAAGGGCTGTGATACTGTCCTAAAGTCAAGAACAGTAAAGTCTTGTGACTTGCATAAAATATGTCATTGATGCATAACTGCATAATTTTATATAATTCATCCTACTTCTGTTAATAAGAAGCCCTGGGCACTGAACCCCTCATCAATAAAATTCTTCTGCCATCCTCTTGGCTTCTGAGATAGTATCAGGCTTTCCTCACGTGTCTCATCTTTCCAGTTCTAAGGGCCAGACACAGAACGGAAGGACGGAAGAACAGATTCCAGGAGGTCGAATTCTGCATTATCTTTTCAGTTGGACTGCGGAATTATATAAATGCCAGTCAAAGGCTCAATTTCTGATGAAACGTTTTTATATACAACTCCTGCAGGCTCCAGCTGCCACAGAGAATGCAAGCAGAAGATAGCTAATCATAACAATATCTAGCATTTGGTGTGAGTGTTCAAGCATTCAAAGTACTCCACATGTGCTATCTAGCTGCAATTCTTCCAACAACCCTGCAGAGTGAGTTGTTCTCCTCCTCCTCCTCCTCCACCCGCTGTGGATGGGGTGTGCTGAGGCGGAGAGCACACCCCTGCTTAAGACCATGGCAGGCATTGGTGGCTGGAGTAGCAGGTGAGCCAAGGGCAACCCTTGAACCAGCACTTTCCTGACTCATAGCTCAGTCTCATGGCCACTATGCATCCCCGAAGCCCACACGTGAGAAGGCATCCCGCCCACGTTTCCCAGCAGCTGGCACAAAGGGACATGCTGCTTTGGATTCTGGAAATACTAGGTAGCCATCCTGACTGGTAACAATCGGGAGTCTCATCCTCTATGAGTTTCTGCCAGTGCACTGCTTGCCCCTAACTCCAGATCATTTCTGGACATGTTCAAAAGCACTGGTCCCAGAACGCATCCTTGGTGGACCCCACGCTCTACATCCCTCCATTGTGAGAATGGCAGACGTTCTTTCTGTTTCTTTAGCCAATTACCACCCCTAAGAGGGCCTCTCCTATCTCATGAATACTAAGTTTGCTTAGGAGTCTTTGGTGAGGGACCTTGTCTGTGCCGGTTCCGATCATTCCTATCTACATGTTTGTAGACAGTGCCAAAGAAACCTCTTGATTAGTGAGAAAAGATTGCCTTTGCAGGAGCCATGCTGTTTCTTCTCTAGCAAGACTTCTGTGTGCTTGATAACATTATCTTTATTAACTCTCTCTACCAGTATACCCTGAACTGCCATTAAAATAAGTAACCTGTAATTTCCTGGATCCCTTTAAAAATTGTATTATATTAGCCCCTTTCCAGCTGTCTTTCACAGAGGCCGATTTTAAAGATTTTAGATTTTCTTTAAAAAATGGAAGCTCAAAAAATTCTTTGAGTTCTTGAACAACTCTTCAATAAATCTTACTTCAGCCTGATAATCTGTTTGTTTTTAATTTGTCAATAAAGTCTAGAGTTTTATCCCTTCTCATGGGTATTTGCATCAGTCTTTGGAGTTCCTTCCTGAAAGCATGAAAATATCGTCTCAAGAATGGGAATCTGCCATATACCTGCAGTGAAGACAGATGCAAAGAATTCATTTGACTTCTCTGCAATCTCATCCTCCTTTACCTCTCTTGCCATCCAACATCAATCCAACAATAGTTACCTGTTTCTGTTTTGTTTTTTTAATAGTTGGACTAATTTTTTAGGCAATTCTCCTCAAAATCCCCCACCCCCACCCCCGGCATTGTTTATTGCTTGCTTGCATTTCTTTTATACTAGTTTGCATTCCTTTTTGTTTTACTCATTTGGGCAAGAATTTCATTTGCTGAAGGAAGTTCCTTTTCCAGATAAGTTCTTAGCACTATTTATTAACCATACCAATGATCTCTTGGACTTGGTGGTACTTTTCCTGAGTTGTAGTATGTGCTTTAGCTGAGCCTCCATACTTGCAGTTTGAGTAAGCTGCAAACATTCTGAAAAGTGTTGCCCACTTGACATTTCCTTTCATCTTACCATTTACAAATTCCCAGTTTTAGAAATAATTTTCCTATTTTGACAGCAGAGAATGTGGGTCAAATTTAAGAGCTGGACACTTACATGGAAATAACATTTGATATAACTGTGTTGACCATTTCCAATGTACTCAATAACAGTCACACCTTGAACTAACGTCATTACACTATGATTGGGTCTGGAGTTTCCTCCCTTCTAGTTGGTCCCATGTGTCCATGTATACTTTCCAAGGAGCCAGCATGTTTATCTTGTGACTGGAAGTGTTAATCTGAAGTATGCAAAGCAAAGCAAAGCACAACCTGTTGCAAGAAGTGCTTGTTACATAGAGAAGTGAAACTGCAGGGCCATGTTGTCAAAAGAACCTTTAAACAATGAGTAGGGGATGATGAGGACACTAAAAATGTCTGAAGTGCAAAATGCCCTTGCAAGAGAAATTGAAGTCACCCATCATTATGACACTTCTTCCTGTTAATGT